TGGTGGGTTGTGTTAACCTGGGAGTAAGCTAGGTGAATTTGTAGAGGACTGACGCCATGCGTTGTGGGCTCGGTAGGTTGTTACTCTCTTTGTCTTGAGGAACTTGGTTTGCGTTCCAATCTACCAGCTTTGACGCCATGTTGTGGAGGTGCTGCTTGAAAGCGCTTGAAAGTCATACTCATACTGTCCTCCTGCATGTTTTCACTACAACCCGTCCCCCACTGGAATAAGGGATTACTTTAAAGGAAAACTTATCCTCCATTTTCAGGTTTTGCATTTTGTGAAGGGGAAATCTGAGCACACCCAGAATATGCTGATTTGCAGACTTGTGATTCTGTAGAGAAACATGGTCATTCCCATGTATGGTGGTTTTCAACATAGAAAACACTTTGCATTTTGTAGAGAAAAATTGTGCAGGAGGATCTTTGCATGGCGCTGCTGCCTTCAGAAATGTTTAATAGCTATTTCTAGAAAGGGGTAGGTGCTGAGACCCCTAAATCTCAAGTAATACAGGTGGTAGGTTATCAAACACAATTTCCTTCAACAGGTGGAAATAGACCTGACTCAAAACGGACGATGAAACAGGCTGGCTCTACAAAATGACACACACTACAAAATGGGCCGTCATGTTTTTACTTGCCAATTTGCACTCTACCTGACTTGAAAACTTGCACCTCTACAGAATGATACAGAATGTATCATGGACTGTTTCAGGTTTTGTTTGATCAGTTCCGTGTTACAACCTCCCCATTTTGTAAAGGGTGTCCCTGTCCCCAAATGCCCTTGTGCGTGGCATTTTGTGGAGTCATACACACTTGTGATTCCGTAGGCATCTGGAGGTCAACTTTTGTGTTAAAACGACAGAATGCTTAGTACAGCCTCTCCTGGCTAACTCACAGGGGGATCTCATACTCAAGGGTTTCAACAAAGGTTCCTGCAATAGAATGGTTCCTCGGTTCCATCTCCGAGGTGTACAGGTGAGGATCATATGAGTGTGCAACAAGCACGAAACAATTTGCTAAAAGCATGTTTCAGGACCGTGTGCTTGGTTTGGATTCAGCTGTTGTGGAGCTTTGCTCACTATGGGAATGTATTTTGGATTCCATTTTGTCTGACTTGCAGCACATGTCAAGGCAACTCATGGTGGAGTATGGCGCTGCGACTGGTCTACAGCAAAAATGGCATTGTTTAAGTCTTCAACTTTAAAAGAACAATTAAGCTACTAGTAACAAGTGCCAGGCTACTAGGAACAAGTGCCTTACTAGTAGTAACAAGAAGCTTTTATTTATTAATAGCTTCTTGTTACTACTAGTAAGGCACTTGTTCCTAGTAGCGTGGCACTTGTTCCTAGGAATTCCCCAAAACGGTCGTGCACGGATCCTTCACGGTTCGAAGCTCCGCCGCTCATCCGTATCGCCATCAGCGGTCGGTTTTATGTTCGGATGAGCAATGAATGCTTTATACTTGGAGCACCTATTAGCACCTGGATAAAATGTCGCACCCAATATGTTGGATAGCATGGCATGCGGTTTGAGTTCTTCACCTGTGGGGTGTCCACTTGCTTCGATGACTTCAATCAGATTGTGGTTCTGAAAATATGCTTCCAAGCAAGAAGGCATTTGCTGCACACCTCTTTCACGCACTGAGTGAATTTGTCAAGCTCTCTTTATCTTTATTAAGTTTCCCTAAAAATCTAGGAACCAAATGATTAGTCCGAGCGCTTCTTCAAGGAAGCTTCCCCTGCCGCCTTTAGGGCGGCGGGGAGCTTCTTTCAAGCAGCGTGAGCTATCCTGCGTCCATACTAGTCGCTTAAGTAAGGTACTAACTACCTCTCCCTACTAGCTACCTAGCTACTAGCTACTACCTCTAGCGGCCTACCACACCCCCTTCAAGAAAGAGCCCTGAGGATGTGAACTTTGGAAAGGGTCCAATATATAGCTCCGTCATTAGCAATCTGGCTGGCCGGGGTGCAGAGCCAGAAGCCATCCGGAAGCTGGTCGAGCTGAAGGCGGATGTGAATCCACGAGGCGAACGTTTCAAGCATTCGGAGTCCGTCACCGTTTTTTTTCCCGATGACAGATCTGAAGATGGACTTTTCACTCGTTTGATACACGAATTCTTGTTTGAACGCATCCAACAAACGGATGCTTGGCTTGTGCGTCCGCACCGTGCAGGTGTCTCTCCGTGGAACAATGTGGCCATGCTTTTTCAGGGCAATCCCCATGGCCTGGAAACTGCCCAGACATTAGTGGACCTAAAGGCGGGTCCGCTTCTGCGGTACCACAGTTGAGATCAGACCAAGAGGTCCACATAGAATATGTCTTACAATATGACCTCCAACCTACTAGCGATGGGGTCCAACCTACTAGCGATGGCCTCCAACCTACCAGCGATGGGGTCCAACCTACTAGCGGCTAGCGATGGCCTCCAACCTAATAGCAATGGCCTCCAACCTGGCCTCCAACCTAATAGCGATGGCCTCCAATCATAATTAGAATATGTTTGATGACCAAACATCTCCTTTAAGTCTTGTGACTTCAGTGACTTCACAAGATTTCACCAGCTGTTGATTGCATCGGGGGATGATTCAAGCCATCACAAAGTGAGTTGACGCTGGCAGGCAGACGTGAACAGGCCGAATGACAACTTTCTCTTCATGGCAGGGCTAACATATTTTTGTCGCGCCTATGAGATGTGCTCCAAGGTGGATAGGGAGACAAACGAAACTTGACCAGCTTTCTGCTTTGCTTAAATTAGTCAACAATTAGTCCAGGTCAAGACTTCCCGAGGAAGTTGTGCTGCCATACGAGAGAGCTACCTATAATATAAATCCAGATTCAGGAATTGATTGCAGAGCTTCTGTATATGGATTAGTTGGGGGTTAATGGGGACTTAGTCTCCCTTAAGATTTGAGCCCCTGAGCATTCCTTGAGAAGCAATGCTTGGGTGCCATAATTCATCATCGACCTGGCCACTGCACACACTTTGCTACCCTGTTCGACTCTGACCTGATATTCCAGGATCCTCCAGCAGCCGTCTCAGTTTTGTGCCTCGGTCAAGTTTCGCAAAAGTTGAATTGACCATAGTCGCGTAGGTTGTAGCGGTAGTTGTGTCGTCAAACTGATGGTTGCTTAGAGGACCTCTCACACTGTTTGAGGCTGTTTGATTGCATCAAGTCACACTATCCTTTGATATATTCCTTTGATTTCTCTACATCATACCATTGACACCTGTATGCATGTGCAAACTTTGCCTGCATGGAACAGTCCCGGTGAACACTGGATGTTGAAGCAGCTGTAGTGATAGGGTAACGGTCTTGACATCGCTTTAACGCAGACATGTTGCTTGATTCGTGCCAGTGCGAATAGCACCAGCAGCCCCCTGGGCAGTGCAGCTATTTTCGGCCAGACTGAGCTGGTTGAGTTTCTTGGCTCAGGAACAAGTGCATCGCTAGTAGTAACAAGTGCCTTACTAGTAGTAACAAGAAGCTACTAGAAACAAGAAGCTACTAGGAACAAGTGCATCGCTAGTAGTGAAACACTTGGTGGCGAATGGTGGTCAAGTTGCAGCCTGGCAAGTGAAGCAAGCTAGGCCAACTTCAATCTTGCGAGCCACTTTTATTGATTGACATGTGAGACGCGCTGCACCAAAGGGGGAATTGATGAGTGAGTCAATGGGAGTCGATCGCTTACGAATTCGACCCTGATCCTGCACAAAGGAATGAATTGGGGAATTGGGTGAGGAGCTTTTCCATGTTGGAGCTCTTGTTGGCGAAGCCAGCTGCTCTGATTTCTTTCTCCGCAGGTTTCTACTTCAGGCACGAGCTGATGCCAACCAACGGAACGCTCGTGGCTTGGCGTCAGCGAGCTGCTAAGCACCTAGAAAATGCAGTCGACACTTTAATTTAGTTTTCTAAATATTTTCATATATATATATATATTCATTATATACAGTGTGTTGTTTTGTGTTTTGGAACATTCTTCTCTTCATCTACCTTGTTCGAACATGGTAACAAGCTGCTCAGAGTTTCGTTGCATGCTGGGAATGACAATGATGGCATCGGCCACCGTGGGTCTTGGGAATGATTGCTGAGAAACCAACACCTGGATGGCCACGTCTGGATGAGACTGATTCGCAAGCCAGTTCAAACTACCATTGACACTCACAGACAGCTGATCTCTTTGTCAGAGATAAGGCCTGTCTTGTCTCGGGCTCGGTCACGGGACATTTGAAGCAGTTGGACTTTCTCAACGAAACGGCATTGACTCATGGTTACCTCAAAAGTCTGTGGGTCTTGCTCGTACTGTGCCCCACAGAAATCACTTGAGCCAAGACTCCATTTCCGAAACTTGAAGGCGGCTTGCAATCGCTGGATAGCAGCTTTATACCCAGACCCATGACCACCAGTCACACAATCGTCAACATGTGCTCCATAGATCTCCATAGACACCTGTCAGTTGACCTTGTCCACGAGAATAGAAGAGACAGGAGTCGAAGCGAGAACGTTCAAAGCCAACAATGAGCTCTTGACACAACCGTCTATGCCAAGCTGAGGGGGAATCATTGAGACCGTGTATACGTGACCAATGACCTCGATCAGTGTATCTTCAGGGATTCCGGAGACTCCTCCCTTTGGCAAGCAGCTAGCATACAAGGGATGGTATCGCCTGTGCTCCTAAGGCCAGTTGCCAGTGATGGCTAGCTATCACGGCCACATGGGCCGCTGCAGCCCTCTTGTGAGCCAGAAGCAGGAGCGCATGGCCTGTGAGAGGGCATCGAACTTGAGGTCGCCTTGAGCACGAGTCAGGCAGATCGCTTGGTCGCTTGTGACATTCCCAAGCAGTTCAGCAGGATCCGCCACGCCAGTCTTCCCAGCACACTTGTCGAAGCACTCTCGGGTCCGCTGGCACTGTCGAAGGCTCGCGCCCTCCTGCCTTCAAGCCGAGAAGACACTGGCGATATTCTCGCCGATCTCATCGGGCGGCCTTTTGTCAAGGAGGTCAAAGATGATGTTATCAGAGACCTTGACCTGGTAGTCGGCGTTTTTGAGATGTTCGACCACCTCAAACGCACGTCCATGAATCACCGTCCATATGAACGATCCTCGAGCCTCTTCGCCCACCGGCGGTATTCCCGGTGGCAGTGGTCAGCATCTTCACCGCCGCTGAAAGGCCGAAGTGATGTGCCAGATTCCATGGCAGCGCGGTTGGAGACTCCAACAAGCTTCCAGCTGTTTCAGCTTGTCGGGGAGCCGGTGAATTCCACACCTGAAAACCGCATTCTAAGCGCTCCTTTTCTCGGGCATGAATGTCCCTGGAAGCGCGGTTGGCATATACATAATTTTTTTAACTTAATAGATATATCATTCTGGTCTGGTCTTGCTCCACGGTCATGCTGATGTTGAGGACGTGTTGAGTAAATGAGTCCCAACACCTCTCAGCCAACATACAAACGGAAAGGAAAGCTTTGGTTTCAAACCCATGTGAACAAACAAAGAGCCAGTTTGCTTTTCAGCCTGGATCAAAGGTTTTCATCCACGAAGTTGGTGCCACGCGCTGCCCATCAAAGAACCACAGCCGCCCACCCGCTGCCTTCCTCCGCCTGCCTTCCTGCCATCCTGCCTTCCATTCAACCTTCCTTCCCACCTTCTGCAACACAGGAGTTCTGGCAGTGCGTGGTGCAGAGTGGTGCGCGCTGGGCCTTTGGCAGGTGACAGAACGCATATCAGAACACAAGGTCACAGGACAGAACAAGCGCACTTGCCAGAAGATATGTCAGAGCACATGTCAGAACGAATATCAGAGCCAGAGTCAGACAGTATGTCACAACATATTTTAACACATGCCAGGTCGGAGTGCGAGAACACATGTCACAAGTACATGCCACAAGATATGTCAGAACTCATGTCAGACTTCACGGCAAAACCAATGCCAGATCGCATGTCAAAAAGGACGTGAACCGCAAAACACATTCCATATCATTTCCCAGTCTTTATGCTAGGTCTTGCTTGGCAGGACAGTTTTTCGGAGCGGTGGAGCAAGAGTTTCCATCCAAGTTATTTCTCGAGGTTGTTTCCCAGGTGCTTGTCTCCCTGTTTTTGTTGAAAACCTGCCATTCCACGTTTAGACGATTCTCGGGAGAATCGCTCTCCACAACTCTGGCGCCAGTGGATTTTGATGTGTGGGGTCATGGAATGCGGATTTGTGTTTTGACTCGGTCTTTCGCAATACGCTATCACTATTGCACAAAGGTACACAAAATGGTTTTCGGACTAACCTTCTGACCCTACTGGTTTTGTGTTTACTGCACAAAAAGAGCTACTGTAACCAAGCTACGTTGCCCAAATGAATAATTACGGAGGGTCAGACCACGCGTTGGGAAAATCTGTAAGAGTGAGAGTGTAAGTGGTAAGAACTCGGTTCGGCTTGGTATAGTGACACGTCCGCCTGGAATCTATCCTGTGAATAGGTTCCGAACTTGGCCATGAAGGTGCACGAAGCAGGGCGGAAGACTTACCGTAAGTGAATGTAATTCATGTTATAATTTCTAATTGTGTTTGTTGTATAGAAAGGGAACAACTCAACTTGCAATGCCAAGCTTGGTGCAATCGTTAGTCTGAGGTGGTTTGTCTCCCTTGGATCTTGCTAGAAACACGCACACACGTGAAGTGGGCTTGGATGCAATTGGTGTTTTTTCTCGTTTGTTGCAATCTCTTCCAGTCTGGACGGCCAAACGGGATGCGGCTTTCGGGCGGTGTTTGAGATCGTTATAAGTTATAAGGTGTTGTGGCGTTGTGCTTGTTCAGACTTTGTGCCTTAGTTGAGCTTATTTTGACCACTAGACTCACTAAACTAGATGCCAGCTACCAATGCTTGAAGGGTTTTTTTTCTGCATGTGACATGTGATTCAAAGGCTGCTGCATTTTAGGTGATGAGTCGATGAGGATGAACTTTGGAAGATTGAATCACAGGGAGAGCAAGTCTTTTCGGTCTTTTTGCTATAATTAGCTGCTATGGGGGCTGAGGTCCTGCAGCAATCCTTCCGGGCTTCCAAACAGGAATCTCGTTCTGCAGCGTTATGGCCAATCTTGGGACGCCTATTACAAACAGCCTAAGCGGAAGGACATTTATATAAAGACTGTTGTTACAGATGTTATGAGGCACCCTCGATTTCTTTGATCTTTCTTAAACCTGACATGCAACGGAAGCCAACCCTGTGCAAGTCCAACGCCCAGTCTTAAGACAAGGACGTTTATCTTAAATGGGTAACTGTCTTTCTCGTAAAGGCAGGAGCGACAAACCTGACACAAGAATGTAAGAAGCAGATCTTGAGAGAAGTTATTTGCAGCACATTTCGCTGCACTTCAGAGTAGCAAAGGGGACACGGAAATTCACACAGCACAAACAATCTAAGAAGCGAATCGAAGAGTCGAAGACAGTCTCTATTAGACCTTTCTTCCCTTTCTTTGTAATTGTTTCTAAGAGCGATGGCCTCCAACCTACTAGCGATGGCTCTTTTTCTTCTCAGCCTTGTTGAAAGGAAATATGGCTCTTCAGCCTGAGAAAAGCAATCGGCCACCCTCGCTATCCTTGTTGAATCATGTCCTCGTCAGCAAGACGTTTTGGCAGACACACATCAAACGGCCACACATCACATGAACGCCCACAGGACGCCAGACACCGCACGCATGAGATGCATGGCTAATTACCATCACATCATCAGCCAATTGACTTCGCCAAACATGAACACTGACGAAAGATTGAAGCATGCTATAGCTTTATCATCCTTTTGTACTCCTTCCGCCCACCTGCTTTGCAGACTAACGAGTAGCTGCTGTCCTCCAAGGAAGGGTTGTTCTTTGACATAAGCATCTTCAAGTCTGAGATGGTTGAAGAGCGCTTTTGACCTTCAAGGGCACCGCAAGCATAAGTGCTGGCTGTCCTGTTTGGGAACTACTCTACGTATCAACGTTGCGTCCGGTGTTCCGGAGGATCATCTCAGGTGTTCCCAGGTCTCACGTGCTCAGATGATGAACCCTCCCTTTTCAGCTGAGTTCAGAACATCGTGAACATCGGGCTAGAGTCGGCTAGAGCTATGTCCTCCTCCCTGCAGCACTGCTGCAGCACCCTTCCGGATCCCTTGATCCATCTTGATCCTTGATGTCCTTTTTTGCAGCACCTGCCAGAGCCTTTTTGCGTCAGGTGCGACTGAACCCTTTAATTTTTTGAACCCCAAAATGCACCAATTGGTTTTGGAAGAACCATGGCGAGTGGGTGAATTTGGTCTTCTATTGTGTTGCTTCGAATTCCGAAAGGCCCAACTTCGCATATCTTTGTAGTGTTGTATTTGTCAGTTGGCAACTGTAACTGTAGCCCCGAAGCTATGGTTTTTTCAGTTTTCCAATCCTTGACATGCCCGAAGCTGTCAACTTGTGTGCAAACTGGCCAGATTAGAGAGTCTGTTTCCTGGATTTCACCATATTGCAATATGGGGGTGTAATTAACAGGCTAGAGTGGATTCGCTTGACCTTTGGATGCTTGGCCGGCCTGTCAGCCGTAACATGGCTGAACGTGCACATGTTTGCTCAGAGTTGTTTTTCTATTTTTGCAGACCTTTCCAAAGACTTACGACCGCGAGATGAGAAGAAAGTGCGTGACAGAGTTGCATGTTCTCGCTTCTCTGCTTGGTAAGTCATACGCCCAACCACCAGAACATGTGCACAAAAGCGACACCAGCCACATTTTGATCAGTCGGTGACATGTTGATCTCGCTTGAGGTGGCATTGAAGCTTTGAAAGAGCGGCTGTGAGCTAGCTTGGCAGTATTTTATAGTCTTTTCAGCCATTTGGACGATTTGGATGTGGCTTGAATATGACACCCAAACTGCACATTTAGCAATGTGTAGAGTATCCATAAGAATAAGTTCTTGACGATGCCAAGCTTGCAAATTTGGTTCTTGTAAATACTCGTAGCTCAAAACTCGTAATGGAGCTGGTCATCTCTCTTCAATCGAATGGGAGAGGACCCCAACGTATTCTTCCTACCGCAAGGGCCCGGGGTGTCCTTTTTTTGGGGGGGATGTGATTTTGATGCATTTGTTTACCTTGGAATTCGATGTCTTCGGCTTGAGATTTGGACTGCTTTTGAGATGTGTACAAAAAGCTTGAGTGCAGAAAAGGTGCACCGTATGCAGCGTTTTGCGACGGTCCGAGATATGCCAACGACCGTCCTTCGAAGACCGTGAGGTCGTGAATGTCTATGACGTGAAGCGCTGATCCTAGATATCTCCCCTCTGATATGAACGAGCAGTCCCAAGTGAGAGTCATGTCGTCGCTGTCGTCCTGTAAATGTTCTCACCAAATATATGAGGCGACGATTTGACTAAAAAGCCATGTGATGGGTTTTAGGTCCCAGGCGTGATGTGCAAGTAGATGCTGCTTCCATACATCGGTTAATGGCAAGCTCAGTTGATGAATACATGGGACTTAAGCCGAGCTATCTACCTTAGGCTCAAATTAGTGTATATAGTTAAGTACTAACATGCACTCCTGCCATCATCGTTGCCTTATAGACTTGAATATTCCAGGATTGTCCTCCGGCATTCATGAACTGCCGAGGACTGAGCTGGTTGGAGTTGACACCGTGCGCTTCAAGGCGGAGGTGCAGTTTAACACTCAGGCGAGCACACTTGATGAATGAACTGCGATCAGGCGATCAGGTAAAGTACAGATCTTGCACCTCCCTAAACAAAGAAGGCGCCTTTGTATTCCAGGCATCCCCTACAAGCTTTTCTTTCTAACAAGGGCTTTCAAAAAGCACATTGACACAGCGGTGGGAGCAAGCAGCAGCAGAACCATTCTCAAGGTCTGCAGAGGTGTATAGCTAAGTAGATCTCAGTAGTATCCTCAAAGCGGGTCAGATGGCCCATGATTCAAAAGCTTAAAAGCCTCAATGTCCATATCGCAAGAAGTTGAACTTGCTAGAGTGGGAGATTGTATGAAGAAGATCGGAAGATCCATCAAGTTCACCGTTGTTTAATTTTGTTTCTAAAGAGTGCCAATCACTTTGTAGCCGTCACTCACAGTTTTCCTTTCGGATGACTGATCAGTTGCGCCTGATAAGGTCCGCTTTTGTGCTTCCATTAAAAACAATTATTTATAAACAGCTCTTTAAAAAGAGAAGTGTTGTGCACTTGTCACGGAGCTATTCAATGGAGAAGGATGAGACCCAGCGTGCATACGAGACAAATGACAATCTCGCAGTAGAACCTTTGCGAAGGCCATCACAGAACGGATGATGGAGGCTTCCCAGGCATTTGGGGTCCGCAGTTCAAAAAAGCAATTCAGGTTCCGTGATGTAGGTTTGGTGAAAGAAAAGGGTACTGACCAACTTTCCAATACTTATCGCTCCTTTTTCTATTGCAGAGCGTGCCCTCAATGCATGTGACTTGGACCTCAAGGTGGCCATAGGTGGCTGTTGTAAAAAGTACAAGCATTCAAAGTCAATTGAAAGAACTAGAAGTAATGTGTCTTGATGAGTTGATTGGGAACATCTCTTGTTGGCCCGGCCTTGATGACCTGCACTTGGCTTGCGGGACCTGGGAAGTCCGACGTGCAGGTGCCACGTCCAGGCTGGTGCAAGCGGTGTTCGGCTTGAATGATGAGGGTCAACTCCCAGAAGACGATCCTTAATTAAATAGAAACAATAAGCTACTAATTTTAATTCTAATAGCTTCTTGTTACTACTAGTAAGGCACTTGTTACTACTAGCGATGCACCTGATAAGTTTCATTTCTGATTGAACAAGCTCTTACTCTTCGCAAATGCGCGCCGAGTCGAGTCGCGCGGTCGGAGTTCCACCGAGGGAGTGATAATGAGTAGACCAGACTTCAGTGGTTCGCTTGGTTGTTCGGGCCATGCAAAATAGTAGCTTCTTGTTACTAGTGACAAGGGCATCGCTACTAGTAGCAAGAATGCTACTAGTAGCTCCTGGCATTACTAGTAGCAAGAATCTAAGAAGCTACTAGTTACTAGTTGCGATGCACTTGTTACTAGTGGCCCATTCGGGCCCTGCAAAAACTCAAGAATGTCAGCACGAACCAACACCGAACATCCTCGGCCTTCCATCGAAGTTTGATTCCTCCTTGTGGTGGGATCCTCACGCAACTGAGATCTATCCCCCCCGATTTCACTCAGCTCAACTTCAACTCGCAGAAAATGAAACACGGTCACAAACGAACCCAATCACTAAAGCACGGGTCACAGGGCTTTGCAAGATCAAATTCATCAGGAGTTCTGCGACTTGCTTGGGAAGGAAGTCGCCATTCGCACGCTGGCGGTACACTCACCTCTTCGAGCTACAATGTCCTCCGGCGCTTCCAAGCAAATAAGACCTCTGGACAAGAGGGCATCCCCGATGAGTTCATCCTTCGTGCGCGCTCGTCTCCGAGCCAGTGCGCGCTCGTCTCCGAGCCAGTGCGCGCTCGTCTCCGAGCCAGTGCTTCCACAAGATCACCGGATGCAAAGCAGCCCCAAATTTTCATTGGTGCGAATCTTTCCTTTGTCTTTTGCCAAGGTCCTGCAGACCTCGTGGGCACAGAGGCGTCCTATCAGCCCACGGTTTTTTCACACGCCACCATGCTCCGACGGGTGGCCTCCACACCGCCTGGCGCAGCACCAAAGTCTTGATGCAGCCTTGTAGTGCTGTGCAGCTCTTGATTCACAAGACATCGACGTTTGAACAGAAAAAGCCCTAAAGCTGACGTGGAGAAGGCTTTTGATAGCCTCAGTTGGGAGGCCCTTGTTGAAACGTGATGGGAGGCATTCTGTGAGCCTCGGCCACACGAAGCGCTGGCACTCCTTGCAGCAGTGCGCCGTCACCTCGAGGTTGACTTCACTTCGCAGGCACTCCTTTGCTCTCATCAAACGTGAGGTATATACCGGAGACGCCGAACACCCGTTCCTTGGTGCTTCAGGATCGATGGAGACAGCTTCTGGGAGACAGGTTGCAACCCATATGAGCCTTCCAAGCGACCGATGGAGGATTGGCACCAAGAGTTGCCGTTCTCTCCGTCGCCCCATCCCACGGCCTTGCCTTCCGACATCCTTTGGCTGGGCAGCCAGCCTGCACCATATGGCTGTCATGGTGGACGCAAAACAGCGTTGCCCAATCCAGCCTCAGCATTAATCTTTCCAAGAGTTAATTGGTAGCGAATGCGTACTGTGGAGTTGAAACTGCCACCGCGCCACTTTGTGGTCATCTCGCTGTCAGTCTTTCCAGCTCTCTCGCAAGAAGCCTTGGATGCATGGCTGGGAGGGCGTGCCCCTACTCATCCACGCCCGAGGCAGCCATGAGCAAGGCAGCGTAAAGGTATGGGGCAACCAAGCTGGGGCCCTGTGGATCCACTGGAAAACGAGCGCTGCACAAATCGGGGGCCGAACACTCCAAACCCAAAAGGTTGGCCGCCATGTTGGCTGGTTGCCACCAATTTTCGAGGCGCAGCGCATCAAACCAGACCGTGGTGTCCGTCTGGATCAAATGCGAAGTCACGTGTGGACCTTCCTCTCCCCTTTTATTGTCCCTCAGCACCTGGTCATGTTCTTGAAGGAGCTCCGAGTGACGTTTAAACGTCGCAAGTCGCACGGTGCATGTTCTGCAATGCGATAAGTTGCTGCAGAGATTTTTCTCATGCTCCTTGTACAGCTTCCTTTCCCCAAGCATGTGATGGGCAATCGTCGCAGCTTTGTCAGCTGCCTCATTGCAGAAAGCGGTCCCTCAGCCATGCCCATAAGTCCACATGCGAGTCAGAATCGGCAGACATTTTCTGCCGTGTCCATCGAGGCCAAACAACTCACTTTTGTCCAGTATATATGCTGGAGCCAGCTCATGGCAGCCAACATAGCAACCAATTCTGCTTTGTCGATGGACTGCACCGTGCGGTGTGGTGGCCCCGCATAAAAGGGCACAGGAGACGCGCCGTAGCGGACACTACTCCTCATGTGGCTAGTGCACACCCAGGAAGTTCCAGGCTCAGACACATTCGCCTCAAGTGGAAACTGGGTTTTGACGACCAAGAAGTTGCAGCCACTCTCCCCAGCTCAAATATAATTCGCTAAGAGACGATGTCTCAATGACAGGAGGTCATCCCAGTTTGTCAGGATCGCCTGATGTGGTGCACAAGCATCAGCTGCAGCTAGCTCGGGGCTCGCAAACCCGTGGTGCCTGTGTGTCGTCTTCCTGGCACCAAGGGCGTTGTCCATCATCGTCCTGTTTGCATGTGAGACGAATCTTTTTTCGCTGCTTCCCTGTCACAAAGGCACCCTCCTACTTTCAAGCACTAAAGAAAAAGCAAGCGAAAGGCCTGTCAAAAGGACGCACATCAAAGAAAGAACGCCTTCTTGTTCCAGGGTAGCCACATCCAAGTACCAGGAAGTGCATGTCTCAAGTGCAAGTCTTTGTAGTGAAGCCGGTCAAATGATCAGCTTTCTTGGCGCAAGAATGATAGAACATCACAAATGGCTGGCGCTTGTTTGTCGCACTGCAGGCAGCAACACAGGTGCTAGCCTGAACCCACATGACACATCACATGATCAAATGTCCTGTTCTGGCGTTCATGAATTGGCATTGTCAAATTCAGGAGCAGCCAAATCCGTTGGGTACACCTGATCACTATACACATGGTCGAGCCGAATAGCCTTGCATCATGCAAAATGTTATTTTGACGTTCACAAACACACCAGGAAGAACATCTGCAGGACCAACCGGTGTTGAACTCCGGATTTTGTAGACATCAGCATGTCCGACATGTCCAGATGTCGACTGAACTCTGCGAACTCCCAACCAGAGTGACAGGTGAAGAATATCATGCACATGCAATGCTGGCAATGCGCCTTAGAGGGCTGCTGCCCCAGGTTTTGCCGGCAAGTTTGACAGCTCTTGAAGCCGAAGCCATCGGACATCATGAACCCGATGAACCTGCACCTCTTGACACCAATGTTTCATCATATTTCCCTAGTCTTGAGGCTAGTTTGACACTCCGCAGTCAAGGCTGATGCTGTTACTGTTTGGCCATTTTTCCATCATGCTTGACTTCGATGTTCGCCGTTTCTCATGGCGAGCTTTTCAAACATAGGACATGCATGGACATGCCGCCACTCCCAGTGCCACTTTGCTCAGACCAAGGTTCGTATGTATGTATACATAGTTGTGATTAAAGCATCAACATCTTTGAGATGTTTGAAGAGGCAGATGTTTGAAGGCACCTCACAGCCTCACGTCCGCCTTTCCAACATCGGTCCTTGGTGGGGTTTCCTCAGTAAAAGGAGGCCTCATTTTGCTCTCGGATGTTCGGCCTTTTGTTCAGTGTCTTTGGCCAAATCTGGGGGCAGCTACGCGGACTTGCACGAAGCTCAGAGAAGCATTGCTTTCAGTCATGGTATTCTAGCACTTGGGGTTGTAAGCTACTGATGTTGATGATATGCAGAGGCTGAGATGGATCATGATTCTTGTCTGGACAGCAAATATGAAGCATGAATCACTTACCACCAATGGCTTGATGATGCTTTGTTGACCCTTTGTCCGGATCAATCACCCCGAGTTTTTGAACAGTGTAACGTTGCTGCAAGGCCATTCGAATGACCTCAGTCCTTTCGAACAGCAGCAACCGATTGGTGGACATCCCGACTGAGTCTGCAGAGGACCGCTTCATCTGCGACTTGATTTGGAAGCAAATTGAACTCACAACTACCGGGCTACCGCAAGGTGAAGAGGTGAGAATAGAGATGAGAGATTTGACTGATATATGAGCTACCGTCAAAACATGCGAAGACCACTTGAGTAAAGAGGGGTAGACAGACATACTTCACATATCATCGTCCTGACAGACATGCTTAATGGATTCTTCATGGATTTTGGTTGCAAAGCTGCAGAACTCTCTTTGTTTGACGCGTTGTAACAGGGTTGTAACGTGGTGGCAGCCACACCTGGTTTTCGATCCTTTGCAGACAACAGAGAAGAAAGTGAGTTGGACGTGGCGGACGTGACGTTGTTCGGTGAGTTGTTCTTTTGCAATTTTGGATTTGATTAGAGGAACTACTAAGACCCTACTAGGAGCAAAGGGCATCGCTACTAGGAACAAGGACGCTACTAGGGGCTCCTGGCCTTACTACTAACAAAAAGTTATCAGAAACAAAATATCTACTGGCACTTGAAAAACAATGTGAATTGCTTTAGATGTGACCCTCAAACATGAGTGTGAAGAAACGGAGCCACTTGAACTTCTTCCAATTCAAAGTTGTATACTGTATACTCATACTGTCATACTCATATATTTCAAAGACACGGACACGGGCAAGGCTCGCATGCTGTTCTTACCGTCAATGCACCTCAAATCCCATGCAAAGATTGCAAAGAAAGATCCTTTTCCAGGCCGATCGGTGGATCTGTGAGATGTTTAAGCCTTGTTAAGCCTTGGATTTTGAACCTTACTGAGCAGGTGCCTCGCTGTGAAACAAGCCTCGCTTGCAGAGCCTGGTGCCACACCTTGCTCATCTTGCCCACCTGTGCCACAGGAGAACCCCGTTTGCGAGGCCACCACTCACTTGCTGGAGGTTGGGAGCTCAGAGTTAGGTTCAGAAGAGTTAGGTTCAGATCGATGAGTTAGGATGAGTTAGGATGCACCACAGTTTCCCACTGGAGCAGAAGGACTTGAGCCAAACCTTCATGTGAGATGGTCCTAAAGACAGAAACCCCCATGGAGCGGCCGCATATTGGTCGGTGGTTTTCAGCATTCCTCATGAGCCAGGCATTACCAGGCGAATTCAAAGGATAGGCGAGGATTTCCAACTCACCGCAATTGATTTGAGTTTTTTCCACAAAAAGAAAGAGGACGAATCCAAAATAATTTCACAAATCCAACTGTTGCAAGTGTTTTTCCCCAAAACTAGGTTCAGGGTTTGGGCCAAAGCCAATTCCAAGGACCCGGAGAAAGAAGAAGCTGTGGACCCGAGCTGCATCAACAACTGTGGGCGCGCTCCGGCAAAAGGATTTGACACATGCTGCAGGAGCAGCTCTTTGATGCTCTTTGCAGGTGGAAGTTGCTCGGAGTAGTGGCTGAGTAATGCACCCTGTTGAATTGTATTGACAGGTACAAGCCCAAGCAAGAGCATTTGGCAGGTAGGTAGTAAGTACTTGTGCGGATCAAAGGATACACTGCAGCTTCCCAAAAGAAGACTTTCCATGTTTGAGGACATTCATCAGTAGCTTCCTTCACTTATATCTTGAGGGTTTGCTGTCGAGCTCTTGTGCAGGACTTGCATCGCTACAAATGGTGCCTCACATGGACCTGTTTGCGGCTTGACCAATGCTTGGCTTCATTTTTTTTGCACAAGGGTCATGTTGATGAAGAGAACACCGCAAAAATAGAAAAGTAGGTTGGAGGCCATCGCTTTTAGGTTGGAGGCCATCCCTTTTAGGTTGGAGGCCATCCCTTTTAGGTTGGAGGCCATCGCTACTAGGTTGGAGGCCATCGCTAGGAGGTTGGAGGCCATCGCTTTTAGGTTGGAAGCCATCGTTAGCCCGCTGGAGGCCATCGCTAGTAGTTTGGAGGCCATCGCTAGTAGGGTGTGTGCCATCGTTAGTAGAAAAGTGCTTGTTTGGGTGCTTGAAGATTCAGTAGAAGCAGCTGCCAAATGCATGTCATGCAGTTCGTCCATTCTTTTTTGGCGGGCTCAAGTTGGAATCTTAATTAGGTCCACTTGTTTTTTTAGCGGAGTATTTGATTCAGGCCTTTCTATATGTTTGGCAGTGATCAGGTGAGGCCAATGTCTCTGCTGACGATAAGACCACAGCCGCGCCAACACCTGCGTGCAAAGATACAGCAGTCCGGAGGCTTAGAAATGATTTTGCCAGGTTATGCATGCAAAACCAGGTGGTTGCACCTGATGCTGAGGATTGCTGAGGTTAGCGGATTGCCTTTTTTTTTAAAATAATCAATTTGTATCTCACTGTTTGTTTCGAGGTCATTGCAACTCTAAACCAGTCTTTTGAGAAAACACTGCCTCGTACTGCCAGTTTGTTTGTCCTTTATTGAAGGGTTGGCATGTTGTACATGTTGTTCGCTTGGAGTGGCTTGAAGCTCGTAGGTTTGGTGGGTGGATTTGGGCACCTGGGTTCGCATCGACAACGAGACGCAGGATCGGAGACAGATAATCATGCTTTGTTCGTTTGATACGCTGGTCACAGGCATTTCGTGAATCTATTGCTGAGGCTAAGGTTGAGAGCAAGAAGCCCTGTCACTTGAGGTTCATGGCTATTTGCCATCGGTGCTTTTGCTCAACTCCGTTGCAGGAGTTGATCCGCGCCGCAAAAAGAGAAGGCCGATCAGAGGCGGGATCAACTTTGTTGCTTTGGGTTCTGATGCTCGAAGATTGAGGGGACTGTTGAAAGGGGCAGCCGGTGCTGTGCTGTTCATTTTCTCGTTCTCACGAGGTTCACTTCCAGGCGCGTGGGCATCCCTACATCATTGACTTGAACTCCATGACTCAGATCAACTTGAATACTCTCATGCAACGCGAAGCTCGGCTCAGTAATCGAGAGACAAAGTGGCTCTGGTGAGCACTGAACACCCAGCACCGGGGAAGAAGATGAGGTAAAGACGCATTTAACACATTGAGGTGCTAGTTGAGAGAATGTTAATCTTCCACCAAGCTCTCAATTGCAAGTACGTAGGGTGTCGAGTGATGCAGTGTTGACAGTTGAGGACGTCAAAGAAACAGAAGAGGACGAACCTCCAGAAGAAGAACCAGATGATGAGGAGGAGGTGCATTTGTTTCAGGATTCGTCAACTCAACGAGCCAAAATTAAGCCTCCTTGGCTGCGTCCAGCTCTTCAAAGTGACCTTCGTCTACAACTCTTGACAGCTCTTTGAACGCCATGAAAAGCCATGATCTTCAGGAAAGCGAAAGCGAAACGCCGGCCTGGCTGCGGCCACGCAGCTCAAAGCCGGAGCTTGCGCCTCCACCGGCACGTTGCTTGGCAGAACTCAGAGCGATCGGCAACAAACATAGACCTATCAGATTTAATAACATTGTGGGGTGCAAACCTGTTAGGTGGATTAGAATGATTCAGATACTTTCGAAGATGCTTCTCGACATACAGTAGCAAGCAGGAGACGCGCGTCTTGCTGCATTGGTTGACTTGCTGCTGAGCAGCAACGTCCAGGCCATGCGACAGAACCCCCTGGTGTCGACTGCGTTGCAGCGTCGTGTCGAAGGTTTACAACATCCTGCACTGTAAGAGTTTGACAGGTTGTTCACAATTCTGATGGTGCTACACATTTGTAGCTCTTGGTCCTGGTCTTTTAGCAAGGTATCTATATGATCCTGAAAGCGAAGGCAAAACTGACGGCATCAAGGCATCACAGATATGTGTGACAGGTGCCTTTGCCTGCTGAAGCCAAAGAAGAGCCTGAGAAGTTAAAACAGGAGGTGGCATGGGCCAATGGAAATTGCATAATCGACGAGTTTTTTTTGTGACGCAACTGCCTTTGAAGTAGAATCAATCACTCAAGCAGGCCAATCAATGAAGAATACCGACCGTTTTCTTCGTTTAAATTTGGAAGAGCAGAACCATCCATGAAACGGACATGTGAATCCAGAAGAGCTTCGAGCCTGAAGGTACTGGCAAGACATGATGTATCGGTATGGCTCAGTATTGTGTTTGCCTCTCCAATTTCGCTGCTGGTATACCATGATGAATTTGCATTCTTGCAACCATATTGCCGTTGCAGGAGGTGAAGAAGGTCTTCAAGGACAGGTCATCAAATCTGGAAAGTACAGTATGGGCGTTTTTGTTCGTTCCAGGCCAGTTCGAGCAGACTGCTTGGGCAGTGGCTCGAGGTACATGCCATTCTTGTGTGTGTTTATTCGTTTTTGTGTTTGTGTGTTGCCATTTCATTCGAAACAGAGGCAGTAGCTGAATAGAAGCTGCTTATACAAATGAGATCAAATGAGGACAATAGGAGCGATCGGACGCTACTAGGGGCTCCTGGCCGTACTACGGACGCTACGAACGGAGCAAACATGCTCAACTGCTCCACAGAGTGCACCAGGAGCACGTTCCGGGTGTTGAGAAGTTCCTCTTCAGGGAGATGTGAGGGACCCGGACCGTCTGAGGGGGATTTTTTAGTTGGCCAAGACTAGGTGCTGCTTGGGTGACAGCTACCTCATTACATAAGGCATAACCTAGTCTCCTTAGGCTACTTAGGCCGTGTGGCACACATGCTGGACAATGAGTTGAGATTTGTTTCTCAATCCGCTCTTTGTCAGGCCTGGTTCGTCCAGGTCCAACCTGACAGCAAGGGGAAATCAGCGGTTGATTGATTCGAACTCAAGCAAACAGCGTATTTGGGGCTTCAGGTCAAAATCAACTCTGATTAGTTGCTTGACCTCTCTAGTAGAACATTCTGTTTGTGGGAAGCAGTCAACGAGGGCTCTGATTCACCATCGGCAATCTGAGGCACGGACAATACTCCTTGAACTTCTTGGCTTCGGCCTATCAAAATGGCCTTCGTGCCTTCAACGGCACAGCCTGGGCAGCCCAGGAACAGCCTTGAGACTCCAAGTTGGAAGCAAAGTATAGGGAGCAAAGCGAGCAAAGGATTTAACGCCACTCCTCAGAGAAGTCGTTGGCAACAACTTTGGCATAATTCTCCTATATTAATATGTAAAGGGTAGGCCCGGCTACATGCAAAGAAGCTACTTGAAGATGGACACAAAAGGGCTTGGGTACTTCAAGGGAGAAGCTTCGTCTCGATCTCGCCAGATTTTTAGGGAATCGACAGAAAACAAACGCGCGTCTTTCGGGATGGTGATGTCTTACACTGTGCAAGGTTTCGAACTGCACTTTCATTGTGTGCATGCAGGGTGCGCTTTTGTGCCTGTATGATTTTGTCTCCCAATGTTCTTGATACATCTTGATACAATCAATTTGCATGGTCAATGTTAAATGCCGTTTCTTCTATTTAGCTTGAGCAAACGAGGAAGGATAGTCGTGTGCGATCATATGCCTGCTGACATTATTAGAAAGACTTGCCAATTGATACGCTTTCTACGAATCCATGATTCGTTCGTTGGATTGCCGCTAAGCCGATGGACAACCACCTCAAGTGGCTTATGCGCTCCATTGCCTCAAACTCAGATGTGCAGCATGATTGCTTCGTGACACTCAGAGTTCTTGACACTTGGACTGTGTCATTCACCCACGGACTAAAAAGGGCTGCTTCCTCGGCCATGACGTCCACGAAAACGGCCATCACTCATCAGCTGACTCATCAGGTCCACTATGGTCATGAGAAGAAGCCCGGAGCCTCTCGATACCTCAAAGAGGTGGACTCGCGTATACGTTGGTCGTTCGGACACTGTGGTCGGCTTGGGGCCCGGGTGCCCACCGTGGTGACTGGTTGTCTTGCGATAGTGTGTTTTCTTGACTGTCAAGACGAGAAAGAGCGCAGTGGAAAGCCAGCCTTCCGAAAAAACATGTCTCAAAGAGACCCGAAGGTTACTGTGCGGCTTGTTTGGCCTGTCATTGTCACTGGAACTCTCTCTGAAAGTGAACCTGCTCTACTTGAGCATGGATCTCGAAAGCTCCTCAATGGATTTCAAGTGGCCTCCACTACTCGTAGGTTGCAGAGGCCTTTCTGGATTGCCAAGCAGTTCAGGCATGAAAGGGTTGAATCTGACTACGATTACGACCATATTGTCAGATTGCCAAGCAGTTCAGGCATGAAAGGGTTGAATCTGACTACGATTACGACCATATTGTCAAGCTAAGTTGTCATGCAACAAATGCATCAGATCAGTGCAACATGTGCCTCTCGTGTGGTTCTAATCGTGAAAAGATCAGTTGGCGCAGATCAGTTGATAGAAAGATCCAGTCGAAGCGCGTTGGCAAATCCAGTCGTCCATGTGGTTCGATCCGTCTCTCATCGGCTTGAGACAGGCGCGTGTGGTGGAAAGAGTGGGCTTAGAGCTCCTGGGAGTGAGCCCTTTCGATGCATCAGCCGTACTGCGCACTGCACACATGGTTGTTTTTATTCGATGCATCAGCCATCAGCCGCAGAATTATATACAAGTGAGCAGGTTGTTTAATAATCAAGAAACAAGAGCGCCAACTCCAATATGGCACTTGATCAAGCCAACGTTCAGAAAGGAATTTGATGACGCAAGCAGAATCTTGCCCATCACTGGAGATCAAACACTTTTTATGCTATTGGCTGAAAACAGTTGTGTCATCATAAGGCTGCTATGCTATGTACAAACAGATGCAGACAAATGGGCTTTGTCGTGCAAACACATGATACATGCTGCTGTTGTTCTAGGCCAGTTTTCCCTCAAAACAAATTGCCACATCAGCCAAGCAAACTGTTGAGATTGTATGAGTGGTTGCACATTTGCTGTTTGCCCAGATGAAGAGACTTTTCCAAGGATGCTGACACCTCTGGCACCAATACGACTTGTGTTACAATGACTATAATGTCGGTTTCACCCACATCAAAGGAACAGGCTGGGTAAGTTTGGCGTAAGCAATGCACAAGCTCCGTGTTACCCTACTTCTGGTCACGTCCGTGCTCTGCCCACAGCGCAACATTGCTCACATACACTCCCGAATCTGTGGAGGAGACAGTATAGATTTCATGAGATTTCATTCCTCAAATCCTTAGCTCCTAAGTCCTTCATTTCCCTCGCTTGGCAGATTTGAAAGCAACCTGGGTCAGCTGTGGTTGTTGTTCTCTGTAGGGCACGTCAGTCCGACTCTGCTCCGTGTAAGCTCGTACCTTCGGAGCGCAAGCACTGTGTACGCCCATTTGCGTTGAACATACAAAAGATAAAGGCAATCACAAAAGATTGTATATAGGATTGATAAGGCCCCTTCAAAGGGAGCCTCATAAACCCCGAGGCCCTGAGTGTGGAAAGCTTGGGTGTGCACATTAGATTTCTATACTAATTACATAAGATCACATAAGCATTCATTGTGAACTAGTACTAGTAATAGGATTTGTGCCATGTCTTGAGGATTTGTTCCATTTGTTTCGACATTCTGACGGCCAAAGGTCTGACAATTGACCGCTTTGACCTGTTTTTTTTCGCGTGTCTCTGGGTAGTGTGTTTTGTTTCGTGTGGCAAGGTCAAGACTTTAGGGGTCTTGTCCGAGCAATGGTGGGAGACTACAAGGCGGGTGCTGCGGGTGCCTGCTGTGACGAGGCAAATCTCATTTGTGGCCCATGCGAAAATGAGCTCAGGTTGCTCGTACACCTGTTGAAACTTCATGACTTGCTGATTGCTGGGTGCTTTCAAATGCTCCAGTGTTGTCCTTTTTTCGAAACATGCAAGCTGAATCGAGAAGATCAGACATGTAAAATTGTTGTTGGCCGCGTAATTTTTTGCAGAAGTTCCGTCAAATGCACAGGTCATGGCCATTAAGATGCTTGCAATCGATCATTTGAGCCGTGGCGTTGTCAGCGATGATGGCCGCTTGAATTGCATTTTTACGAAAGCCAGCTGATAGGCTAGGCTGAAGTTGTTTTCTGCGAATGAAGTGAGTAGGGGTCTGGGCGGGGAGATGCGGAAAAGTGCATGTAAACTTAAATCATGTTAGGCCAAGGAGGTATGTTTGGTGGGTTGGTGATGCAGAAGATGCAAGGGTGAATGCGTCAGTGCATCATTTGCATCAGCAACCTGCTCCAATGACACTAGTTCACGCCTTTTGGCCGGCATAGCAGTTGTCCTGGCATACGGATGTAGCAGGGCCTTGCTCGCTTTCGTTTTTGCCCCTTCTCAGGTGTTTTGCTGGATCTGCAGGAGCCACCAACAGTTTTAAATCATCAACCAAATTGCAAGACTATGCAAGAGTGCTGTTTTACAGTTTGCCTTTCTCTTTCAACTTTCAACAGAGTGTTGAAAGATAGATTTTGTTGAGAGATATCATCCTTCTATTTTACATCACAGATGTTGTTTATTGTATGACTCGTATGACCCTCCCAATGCACTCCACAACCGAGTCCATGCTCCGCCCAAGGCAATCCCACTCACTATGAGAATCGTTTGACTGCAGACCTTGGCAGCATCCTGGGGCTCAACAAAGACGACATCCGCAGAGCGGCTCCTTGGAGTCAAGGAGGTTCCAAGACGTGTTTGGCTTGGCAAATGCTTCATGGTTGGAACTACAATCAGATCAACAGAATGGACACAAATTATGTTTGACAATTTATAATGGATTATTGTTGGCTATTCATGTGTTGATGAACTGTGTGATTTTTGCGGGGTATTGATTGATCAACAACTTTCTAGCAAACAATCCAGCAGGAATGAATGGCAAGTAATTGTAAGAAAAGGACTTCCCTTTGTTGACGGTGAAGGCCCTTTGTTGATTTGAACTGCACCGTCTTGTGTAGTATGTTCAATAATATATAACTAAAAGAACAACCGGAAATCAAGAGTACTTTCCTGTCCTGTTTCTTTTTGGTTTCCTCTGGTTCTGAAGATCAGCTCAGAGCCCCAAGACCAAACATGGACTAAGAAAAGGAAAGAACAAGAAGCAATGGGAAACCAAAAGGCAAAAGGGGCATCAATAGGAACCTCAGTGGTGACATTTTGTTGCAACTGAACAGATTCCTTTGTAACCGCTACTGATTCGCTAACAAATCAATCCGCGGACTACCCCTTCATTTTTGTGGCATGTTGATCGCGTTTTTAACACGACACCTGCTCAGAGTCCCAGACCGATGACTAGAACGACTAGAACGACAGGAAAGAAAACGAAGCAGCGGGACACCCAAAGGACATTGAAGGTGGTGGCGATTAAAACAAAGACAGCTAAGAAAACATTGAAGAACAGTATAGCTGCAGAAAACCTTTATCTCCCAAGACAACCCGGTACGTATTGACATGTATTGCCAGTATTGTCCCATGTTGCGATGTCTTTTTGTAACTAACTCAGCTTATTTGATAAATCGATGCCCAACATTAGCTTAGCTTGGACTCGTCAGGTTGAGTATAAAGAATCACACTGGGCCAGATGTAATCGCACTGGGAGAAACCTCCAAGTAGTCAAGTAGTCAACCTCCAAGTAGTACGGGCTTCGGTTTCTTTTCGAGGTGCCACCGACCACAGCGTATGATCGGCTCCCGAGTTCGGCCTCAGGACTTGGACGAGCACGCCGGCAACAGGCCTGTCGTTATGGGCCCAAGCCGGTGGGTAACGAGTTCAGTGCCCTCGACACGTGAGGTTTTGTTGCTGAAACAGTGATTCGTTTTACCAAAAAGAATACCGTAAGGCGTTTGACCTTAGGGAAAAATCAATGCATGTGCACTGTGCCTTGTTTTTCTTTCAAGATTGATGGCCTGTTTCTCCTGTACCGCGCCTCCTTTCTCCCTGGTTTCTCCTTTTGTTTCCCATGTGACGCTTCCAGATGTTCCAGGTTTCCCCGCCTGAGGGGAGACAACGCAAAGCAGGCATGTGGGTAAGAACAAGTGAGAACTGAGAGTTGAAGGATGCTGGGTTCAAACGCTGAAGGTGACAACAAGGTGACAAGGTTCTGAGATTGTTTTTAGCAGGCCATCCTTATTTATAAGCAACATGAAAGCAGAATGAAAGCGACCGAAATGAACTCCAGAGGTGACTATGATTGCGGCTACCCAAAAAACCTTCCCCCAACAAAAAAAACATGGAGAGGTTACCAGCCCTTATTATTACGAATATCATACTAGAGGTGGCGATGATGGAGCCAAAACAACGGGCCACATAGGCCACAGCATTCGCGGTATGCTTCCACATCCACGTGGAGACATGTCGCGTAGGGTTATGAAATACATTCGAGACCCAGGAGAAGTTCGCAGATTCCGACATGCTTTTTCAGAGAACCCCTTTTTTGGCAAGCGTTTTGCGCGGCAGACCTTTTTGAATCTGACCCTTGCTGGAACTTGTTTCCATTCATGGTCCGCACCGCAAACATAGTGGGTAAGCACGAAGGTAACATAGGTCGCATGGTACTTGCTGACACCGCTCAGTCTTCTGCTGCGTGCGCACAACGTGTGCACACGGCCCAGGCAGCTCAGCGATGTAAGGAGCTTTTCGATGTTGAAGCCTTGGCCAGGACTTTGTGCAATGAGGCGCCAAGTAAGCCAGTGTGGTGATCCGTGTGATGCAGTGGCGCATGGAGTTTCTTCAATCTGAAGAGGTTTATATATAGTCAAGGGTTAATCATTTTGGTTTTGGCTCCAGTCACAAAAGGGCCCATAACCGTCCAGCTCGTTCTTCACACCTCTCCTGCAGCAATGGCCAGCCGAGTGCGCACTGCTGCCGATGCTCCTATGCCACCTGATGCGGCCTTGAAGCTTTTGAAAGAAGGCAACGCCCGCTTCATCAAGGGTGAGCCACAGGCAACTCGAACCAACGAAGCCATGCGCCAGCAGCTAGTCGACATGGGACAGGCACCACACACAGCTATCATTGGCTGCGCTGACTCCCGTGCTCCCTTGGAGACGATCTTTGACACCTTGCCGGGAGACATTTTCGTGCTGCGCAACGCTGGCAACACTTGTACTCATGCTGAAGGTTCCATGGTGGGCAGCTTGGAATTCTGCACGGGCAAATTGGGTGCTCGCATGATTTTGGTCCTGGGCCATACCAAGTGCGGTGCTGTCTATGGTGCCACAAACGCCTACTTGGAGGCAAAGAAGAACGAGGTGTCAAGTGTGAACTCAGCACTTGAAGGCCTCTTGCTGGACTTGGCTCCGGTGGCAGAGAAGGCAGTTGCAGACATGGGCGCTCACAGTGATGCAGATGAAGTGGCTGCCCATGCTGTGAAGGTGAATGTCTTCCACACCATCGACTTCTTGCTGAAGTACAGCGCTCCCATCCGGGAAAAGGTGAAAAGTGGACAGGTTGAGATCCAGGGTGGTATCTACCACCTTGACACAGGAAAAGTGGAGTTCATGGGGCGATCTCCCCAGCAGGCGGAACTTTTAAGCTCCAACTTGGGTCTCCCTCCATCTATGACCCGGGAGGGTGGCCGGGCTGGTGGCTATGGCCCACCTGCACGCGGCGAGCATGGAGTGCGCACCACTGTGGACAGTGCTGTGCCAGCTGAAGAAGCTTTGCAGATGCTTAAGGCTGGCAATGAAAGGTTTGCTGTGGGTGCTCCGCTGGCCAAGCATGCCACTTCCAAGATGCGCGAGGCACTGGTGAGCCATGGGCAGGCCCCCCACACGGCCATCATGGGCTGCGCAGATTCCCGTGTGCCTGTTGACACTGTTTTTGATGCTATGCCAGGTGATTTGTTTGTGTTGAGGAACGCAGGCAACACATGCACTCATGCAGAGGGTTCCATGGTTGGCAGCCTAGAGTTCTGCTGCGGCAAGTTGGGATCCAAGCTGATTCTGGTGCTTGGTCACACGCAGTGTGGAGCCATTGCCGGTGCCACCAACACGTATCTTGCCAGCAAGGATGGGGGTGCCTCCAAGAGTGCAGGCAGTGCCCTGGAGGGACTTTTGGTTGGCTTGTCCCGTGTGGCACACCAGGCTGAAGAGGAGCTTGGTGTTGGTGCGGAAAGTCACAGGTTGATTTCCCATGCCGTGAAGGTGAATGTTTTCACTTCCATTGACTTCCTGTTGAAGTACAGCGAGCCTTTGAGGCAGCTTGTGAAGAGTGGCAACCTGGAAATCCAGGGTGGCGTCTACCATCTTGAAACTGGTCGTGTGGAGTTCATGGGTCGTTCTCCACACCAGGCTCAGTTGCTGGCATCCGACTCCAGCCTGCCACCATCCCTGCAGGCTTTGCCAATCCGAACGACAACCGATGGGCCCATGCCACCAAAGGAGGCTATGAAGCTCCTGAGGGAGGGCAACGACCGCTTTGCTGTTGGTGCAGCAGTTGCCGGCAAGATCAGTTCTGACATGAGGAAGGCTTTGGTGAAGGAGGGTCAGGCGCCCCACACCGCCATCATTGGCTGTGCAGACTCTCGTGCACCTTTAGAGACCGTGTTTGATGCCATGCCTGGTGACATCTTCGTGTTGCGCAACGCAGGCAACACTTGCACTCATTCCGAGGGCAGCATGGTCGGTAGCTTGGAGTTCTGTCTTGGTGCCCTGAACACCAAGATGGTGATGGTGCTCGGGCACACTGCTTGCGGAGCTATCAAAGGTGCAACTGCGACCTATTTGCAGTGCAAGGCAGGCAACAAACCTCAGGTGACGAAAGCCTTGGATGCACTCCTCGTGGGGCTCAGCGATGTGGCCAAAAAGGCCTCTGTTGAGTTGGGTGAAGGTGCCACTGAGCAACAGATCGTGGCGAAGACCATCAAGCTGAACGTCTTCCACACCATTGACTTCCTGCTGCAGTACAGCCCTCTGATTCGAGAGAAGGTCGCTGCCGGTGAGGTGGAGATCCAAGGTGGTATCTATGACCTGGAGACTGGTCGTGTGGAATTCCTGGGCGAAAGCCCAAATCAAGCTACCTTGGTGAAATCCGGTGCTGTGATGCCTCCATCGTTGGCCTAAATTCAGGCGTGTACAGCCCCGCATTGGCGTAGAATCTGCGCCAACAGCGTTGCAGTGAGGTCCCTATTGTTTTTTCCCTTTTTGGCACACTTGACATTTTCTGGCAGATTTTCTAAAAATTAATCATGCCTGCAGCAACAAGGCTGCTATTTCCAACTGCTGTCCGACCAGCATGTGGTGCTTTTGTGCATTTACGTGCAAGCACCATTAAACACTCCTCACGTGCAAATTAGAGAAAACAACTTTGTGCATCCTATCAGTGCAAGGGTTAGATGTCAGAATTAAGAAGAACTACGTCGCAGAGTACTAAACTACGTCGAATCTTTAAGAGCGGTGCAGTACACTCGACGGCAAGGTCAGGTCTTTTCAGTCCTTCGATCGGCAACCGATCGCCTTGTTCAGGTGAACAGTTTCAGCGAGTCCACGTCGAAAGATTCATTGCCGGGTCAATTTATGAAGTGGGCAGATGAGACCATGACGCCTCTTAGTTGCTGAGCCCCTTCATCTCCAAGTGTGTCTACAATAAGTGATGGGTTTGCCGATGTTTGCAAGTACAATGAATCCTTTGACCACCTAATTATGCTGTTATATAATTACATAATATGTTATATTATATATATATGCGATGCTCGCCCTCTACTTGGTTTGCAGATGTTTGCAGTGCTTTTGCAAGCAGCTTATAGTCCAGTACTTGTAACTAACATAGGTGATCTGGGGACCTTGTTTGCCAAAAAATGCATTCTGCACTGTGAACGGACCTGTTTTGTAGGTGTCCAGTTTTGTCATGCAATGGCTTCCACGGCCAAGCGAACGGACGGCAGACGGATGGGAACACTTCGCCTCGCCGAGGCAGAAGCACTTGATTTTTGATGAAGACACCTGCACGAAAGTCGAGGTGGAGATGCCTTTGGCCATCGCATTGCTGGAGGTGCTTTGCCAAGATCCATCCGTGCTTGCGTGGTTGCACAACGGTTTGGGTCTGGACATGTCAGAGTCCTTCAATTCAGAGCTTAGATTCATAAGACTGCAAAGCTGAAGTAGCCGGAGATCGTTCTTTTGTTTGCGCAACTATGTCACTTTCTCCAATTTTGTTTTTTAAACATGCAGTCTCAACCCATCAACTTGACGTGTCAGGTGCTTTTCAGTGGAAAGCCTGGCAGTGAACTAGATGAAGAGTACCGGGGTGTACAGATCAAGGACCGACCGCCTGTCATGAGCAGCTTCAAAGAAAGTGCTAGTGTCTATGTTTGGTTTGCAATATATACGTCTATCATGCATGCGTCTATATACGTCGGACATTGAAGTCCAAGACCTGCCTTCTGGTGGCGAGTGGGTAGCCGAAGCGGATTTGTTGCTCTCGGTGAGAAGAGCCACGACTAGGAGCTCTTCCATCTGGAGAAGTGCGAGGTGAGCCATGCAGTTCACACCTCAGGGTTTCTGGGTAGATTTGTTGGAAGCCAGCATCTTACCACTCGTGGGGTGGAAGTGCTAATTGTTGCAATGCACGCTTTATCCTTGACGTGACAAGTACACCAAGGGCTATATGACAAAACGTTTGGGAAGAGTTCTAGCAAGACCTGAATGTCCACTTCTTCAAGTACCATGTCCTTTGTGCTGTACTGCACCCTTCACATTTGCATTCCAAGGCTTTTGGACGGTGTTACTTGCACTGCTGAGGAGATCCCAAAGGAAGAAGAGAAAAAGCCTCCGGAACCCGGCTTAGACACTGTTCTTTTTGGAGTTTGGCAGTTCTCCGCTTTTTGGAATTTTGACGGATTCCGGAGTCGCATGGCAACGTTGGCATCTGAAAAAGGACGGAACGAACACGGCAACGATGGCCTTCTTGTGTCGCAGGCTGCAAAGCCAAAGCCTGCGAAAGGACGAAGTCCAGAAGCCCAATGTGGGAATCGGAAGCGGTACGTGTAGCATGGTGTAGCCTATGTCAAGAGCAAGTAGGTGTCGGTTTGCTCCCAGGGTGTGTGTGTGTGTGTATGTTTTTTTTTTTAGTTCTTATGCTTAGCATGCATTGGCCAGGTGCAACCTGAGTCCACCAGACCTTGCAAGCTGAGATGACCCATTTTTGTTGAGATGTGACAGCCATCCTGGGCCTAGGGGTCGGGTTGATGGATCACCTGGATGTTCCGATTTGCAGTCGTGTGGTGACAATATCCTCCGAAAGTTACCTTGCATTCGCAGAAGATAGTGTCGAATTTGTTGGGTTCCTAGCTTTACAAAACTTCCCACTTTGACCGCTCTACTGTAAGGTCCCCCTGGAAAGAAGCTGAAGACGAAGAGGCAACGAATCAATTGAGCTTCAATCCCTTGAAAGCTCGTATCGAAGGACTTTCTACCAGTTGTTTGCTTGGAATGCTTCTTGTTGATCCCTTTGCGTAAGCCTGAACAAAAAGTCAAGTCAATTGCTAACACCTTCTGTGTCACATGTTTTCAATAACATGCAGCAAGCTGTTCATGGCTTGCCACGTGGTGCTTGTGACATTTTGTGACCGCTTTGAAACAGATACCGTATGCATCCTTTTTGGCATCACACTTTCTACTTGAGCCAATATTACATTTATATAATTTCATAATATTTCATATATGGCCACTCCCGGGACCAGCCATAACAGGTAAGGGGCAATCATGCTTTATGAAGAAGTGAGTTGCGCGAAGTGCAGCACACGCAACTGCGTGAGCTTGCTTTTCCACGCTCGTGTGGACTCCACACTGACTCACACACGAACTGGGCTCCAGACTGCTTGAAGCAGCCTAGCAACATTGCCTCGTGGTTTTAACTACCAGTAGTTGCCCGCACTGAATGGTGTGGACCGGGTGTGGACAGTCACTCAATTCTGCAGAGCCCAAGCACATTACATGGCATAACTCCAGTTGGTGCAGATGTAGCACAGCTTTCTACTTTAAGGCTTTGTATGATTCTATGATTGTATGTCATTGGTCTGAGCAATTGAATTGCTAGTTCCATCTAGGTCCTGTAGAAATTAAAGTACAAGGAAAGCAACGCAGTCTTCAACACTACTGCCAACTTGCGGTAGGCAAATAGAGTTGCAATTGATGCTGTTATATGCGCACTTGCTTCTGTATTATTGCTGGCAGAAAAGGCATCCAAAAGGTACCTCAAAAAAGGTGTGAAGACACCAGGGCCTTAATTACCAGAATGCTTTCTCAAAGCCCTTCAGAGTTCAGGGTTGAAACAACAGAGTTTCAATTTCGTTTTTGTTAAAGATACCGGGGCTATACTCCAGAGAAAACTCCCTCGGAAGCTACTTTTCCGATTGATTTTCCTTGCAGTTTCTATTTGTGCTCGGTTCATATGTGCTCATAGACTCATAGGCCTAATGTTCGGTTTCAATGCTATTCTATCATGGTTTCATTTGGTTATTGTTTGCTTGTTCTTGGCTTCTCTCTGGAGGTTCAACTGTACTCTTTAGACTCCACCAGGCATGAGCCTTGAAGAGTGTTTTCTTCTATCTTGTGCGCACGCAGGGGTTAACTCCAGAGTTTAGACTTTTTGGCTGCCAGTTTTGGCCGCTGTGCCGCTCCTCCGCTTTTGTCTCTGCGAGATGGTGGCCTTGTTGTTCCACTGTCCTCTTTGGCACGGCATTGCGGAAGTGCTTCTTTCTCTGAACGAAACATCAATTCGCTTGCCGATTGAACGCTGCTTTATGGTTCCGACCTCAACAGCTTTCTCTTTGATTTCACTTTCAAGACCAGCATGCACAACCTCTTGGTTGGAGCGACAGGCCCCAGCAAAATATAGATGTTCAGAAGAACGGGCCTCATGTTCATTTCGTCCTGTCCATGTTTTTGATCCCAGAGGCGGAGGACGAGGAAGCTCAAGGTTTGCTAGTGAGGTTGTTTCTGCGGAAAGCAGATCGATTGAAGCTTGTGCTGACTGATGTTTTGTTGGACATGGCCTGCTATCACGGAGCAGCTGCTGAGAGCGAGCGTTCGAAGCGGAAACATATTTTGCACCAAGACCGAGACCTGGACCTTGAACCAGCCAAGACAAACATTGGCATTGCTGTGGCCTGGAGCGCTGGAGTAGCCAGTGCAGCCATGGATGCTTATGCGTTCCGCACACAACTCGTCTCTTACTTGGCGCCTTCCCCTTGCATGCATCTGCCTGGCAAGACCTGATCCAGCTACACGAGCTCAGGAGCATGCATGGGCCATCAGCACACCTATGGTGATGACTTTTGCCTCGTTGCCATGAGCCACTTCTTGCTCCGACCCATTGCCAACCGAGCAGATGAGCATGAAGCACCCTTTGTGATCGAGCCCCCGGCCAAATCGATCGAGAGGCATGAGGCGAACACGGTTTCCGCCACTGCGAGGCGACAGAGCTTTGAAACCAGGCTTGTTTGCGAAGGCTACTGTGAAAGCAGAGCCTACTCAGACCGTGAGCCTCGCAGCGCGGAGAAAAACACCAAATTTCGCAAGAATTGCGCCTTACCAACAGCAAGGGAATGCCTCCAGAGATGGTCTAAACAAGATAAAAGTAGATATATGCACAGGCTAAACTTCAGAGAGTGGACTCCTGGAAACTCCCTGAAGCGGAGGCCCATATCAAACTCCAGCTTCAACCTTTTGAACTCCAGAAAACGCCCTCTGGCCCCACCGACCCCAACCCCCAACCTAAGCTGAAATGTGCAGAAAGCACCATTGACAGCTTGAAGGGTGGTATCTCTTCGTACACACAAGAAAGCTACAGGTCCATAATAGAGGCTTTTCGACCAAAGATTCAATTGAGCTGCTGTCCCTGGTTCGCACCAGTTGTTGCCGCACATGGCCCCGAACAAGGGCTGCTGATGTTGGCAATGCGCCTACCATTCAGGTTTGGCCATTTAGTGATTGTCCGGCAACTGGCAACCTTGCAGACCTTGTAATCATTATACGTTTCTTTGAGATGTCATTTTCTAGCATTCGTTTACGAATCCTGATGTCTATGATGCCTATTGACCGGGGGATCAATGCCAGGGGTACTTTCCTCCAAAAGAAATTCCATGAGATTCCTTCAAAGGAATCTGTCCTAGAAGGACCATGAAGGATCTATGATTATGCACGAACATATAGTGTATATGTTTATGGTCTGCGTTCATTGGCCGACTGGTTTCTGGACACCGCTGGGCAACGCCTATATTGGCGTCAACTGCTCAGCATGGCTGGTGCGTTGCTGGCACAGCGGCTTATGTGGGCCAATTGAGGCGAACGCGTGCCAAAAATTTGACGAATGCGCAAGAATCATGGATTGTTCTCGGCACCATTGTGATCCACATTGCTGCACGCTACATATTACTCGAATGTCCTATATATATATGTATACAATTTGCGAAATCACATGTTGTGTGTAAAAAAACACCACTCTATTGACATCAATAGGGTCTTTGAACGATCCACTCAATATTGTTTGTTCAATGACCTTAACTCCTGTATTCTTGAACAACACATACGTTCGATTCTTTGCCGGAAAATGTCCAAGCTGGCGAAACTTGACAATGTTTCCGCCTCCGTGCCAGTTGAGCAGAGGGCTCCAAGAGGTTTGCTTGCGGGTTTGCTTGTTCATCTGGCGGAATTGGGCCTTGTCATTCTTCAACATCTCCAATGGGATGCATCTCCAGTTGATCGAAGAGAATTTTTTTCTGGAAGACCTTTGATATGACGAGAGTCGCATGAGGCAATATATATTTTGAGAATTGCTGAGACATCGGAATCATGAAAACTTTGGAAAATTGAATACATGTTGTAATTATAAGGCTACAATCGGGCTTCATTCAGTAGATTCACAGGGTGATTTGCGTTGAATTGTTTTTCCTCGTCAGAATTCACACAACAGTCTAAACATTTTTCACGACATATTGTTTCCAAAGGCAAATGCCGGTCAAGGGCAGAAACCAAAAATATCGGTTACATGGATGGGGCTAATAGTCTCAACAGTGCCCCAGTATGTGCATAAACTACATATAGGCACCTATCATATCAGTTCTTAGATGTTCTTAGTTCCCGGACAGGGAAAACATGAAAAATCGGCGTGCAATGTTATATAGACATTTTTTCTTTTATTTGAGGTGCCAGACTCAAAGGAAACAAAAACGATAAACTATACAGCTGCCCCAGCCTTTTGTTCCTGTTCTGGGACGTTCCTGGGAATCAGACACCTGGCCTGTCATCGGAGGATGTGGCTGCTGCATGGCAGGGGGGCCAAGCTAGTGGTCCAATCCAAGAACCGACTGTTTTCCTGACTTGTTTTGAGGGTGGGCAGTTTTGATGGTTGCAATAGCCAGCAAGAGTCTCACAGCCTGTCCGGCAGTTTCAGGAGCAGTGCATTTGTTGTTTCTGCAGACCTTCATATAGCATGCTAAGTTTGTCTAGTTCCAGACTTGTTGCCTATGTTGGATGGTGTCCATGTGCCTAGAAGTGTGAACTTGGCGTGAACCCGTGAGCCCTTCACTCAGATCCAGGCAGCCTAGAAAGCCACGGAGTCGATACCATTTCCTACCTCCCTATACCGTGACTCATGCGTCCAAAGTGACTCATGTCCAAGTGCTTCAAGCGGACACGAACGGCTGTGCTGCTGGCGCTGGCTGTGCTGATGTCAACCTTGGTGGCACAGCCCTCCACCTTCGCGGTCGCGCGGGGCATTGACCACCCACCCGGCCCGGGTGTGGCGGGCGTCCAGCTTTTCGGAGGAAGGCCACCGCGACGTGGAGCGAGCCTTTGCTTGCATTGGGGGGGGGAGAACTTGGCTGGCATTTGAGATTTGGTGGAGAATCTGCTGACATGCAAGCTGTACGTTTACCCTGCAACAGTCAAGAGATTACATTTCTGTCAACATACAGTCACTAAACACTTGGAATCCAACCACCAGGCAAGAGGTGAGTGTACTTGCAAAGGGCACGAGGTTGCCACACTGCCACTCTGATGGTTTCTGGTCTTCAAGAATCAATCAAAGCACTTTATATCACCGTATATAAATACTTTATATGTGTTGGACATGGCCTCTGACTTCTCTTTGGAAGGACCCGATTAGCTGCTGATTTGCAAGTGATGACATAGCCAGACATATTGCGCACATTCGGTCCACATCTACATATTTGGTTGCACTGATGAATGTGAGGAAGAGTAAGAGGTGGGCATGTGGGTGGGCATGTGGGCATGCCTTCATCCATCCAAAAGGGGTTGCTTCGATACCAAATCCAGGTTGTCTCGACATGCAGCTACTTCTGCTGGAAGCGTGCCAGCAAAATCTTTGCTGCCTATCTCATTGTCGCTCGAAACAATGCCAAATGCAGCAGGGGGACTGCGGTGAGCAAACGCGCTAAGTTGCATTTCACTGTTCAAATTGCCGTGAAAGTGCCACTAAGCAAGAATCAATAATGACAGGTCAAGCAATTGCTCAGAATGTGAGTGATCCCGTCCAAGCTAGAGTAAGAGCTGCTAGTGGGCAGCTGCTTTAGCTTTATACACGGCGACTCAGGTCTGTCTTTGTCCAGATGCTGGGCGAAGGATTTCTGGGGAGCGTGCATGCGAGAGAGTCCCAGAAGGGTACAGGTTATGCAGACTCTTCGTATGGAATTGACATTCTGTTGTGTTTTTTTTGTTGCATATTGGTTTGTGTGATTGATATTTTTTGCGTTTGTGCTTTCCAGCATTCCAAGTGTTCGACAGTGCTCCTTGTCAAACAGCTACCCACACCAGTTTCAAAGCGAGGTTGTTCTGACCAGAAAAGTGGGCTGAGTATTATCTGCATTTAGACAACAGTTTAGACAACATATGTAAGCATCCCTGAAGCAAAGCTTCCAAGGCTTAAACTGCAAGAGTCATGTCACATCTACATTCCGGGCAATCCCAACATAGCCTCAGTCAGAGCAATCAACAGAGGCTTAGCCTCACAGCCATTGGCTGACAGCCATGTCGACCCATGGGTGTTGTGTCCACCCTTTGTGCAGGCATTGCCATTTCGACCATCCCTTTGCACCTCCTGAGCTTTGGGGCAACACCCCTGCAAGTTGGTCTCGCATCTTGGTCACCAACCACGTGACTTTTCTGTTTTGAGTTCGTGTGACTTTCATGCATGTGACTTTCATTAGGCACTCCTTGTCAAAATGGAAGGACAACTACAGTGTTTGCTTTCCCCCTCCAGCTTGCATGCAGTATGACACTGCCGGGGTATAGAAATGTGTCCATCTCAGGAGCTTTGTATCACATGTTACAGTTCTTTCAACTTCCTTGATGGGGCCACTGTGCCCGGCAACCTTTTGCAACGTATCCTTCCCTGCTGGTAGCGGTAGCATGCATGTAGTAGTACAGTACTCTTTATTTTTACTTCTCTCACTACTAAAGCCTCATAGATTAGACTGCATTCTGTTTGAGGCAACTCAGTGTGACTGGGTTTTGCCCGGCTACTCACTGCCGAGGCTACATCCTGCTTCTCTGTGGCTCAGATGGTTTGTTGCCCTGCTTTGGTAAGTGCCTCCAGCAAGTTTGGACGTCTGCGAGTATTGAGGAGACATGGTTCAGGCCTTTCAGGTGTCAAGGAATATATGAATTGACCGACACCGTTCCGCAAGATTCAAGATCAAACAGTTTCCATTTCACAGCTGCAATTGAAATGAATCATCCTCAAACTCCGACGAAGTCACGACCAAGTCAACTACCAGCTTTTGGCTAAGATCACAAAAGTTGATCTCCTTTGGTCAGTACTTCTAGACAAAGTTTCCTAAGCCTCCACTTTCATGAAATTTGCGGGATAGTGCTGGCTCCATTTCGGTTCCTTTGCGTGGTGGTTGTCCAGGCAACAAGAAATGAAGAGTCAATCATTGCCCTTAGCTGTAACAAGACTGAGTGCGTTTTGATAGTTCTTAAGCGTACCAAGTTGTGAACTTGAACACCATTGACCATTGTTTCCAAGTTATGAACCTTCATGATGCGACGACCCACAACTTCGTCCAGGACATGCTTGGCAGGGGCAGCGTTCGCTTCAATGTTGATTTCTTTGTCGAGCAATATTCCTGGAATTCTGCTGGGGCGATTTCTGGCAGGTGCGAGTTGCACTGACACTTTTGGAATTCCCAAGATGAATTTCGATGAGTTATGCTCTAAGAGGGTTCTGAGTTACGTAAAGTTGCACCAAGCAGTTGCGCGTGCTAAGCCTGTGTGACGGGTGCTGACAGATGCCGGATGGGTAATGGCACGGCTGTGCAAGGGTGATGAAAGGGGATAGCAGTTGTGCCCTCAGAGCGGGAAATGGATCAGAGGATGAACTTCAGGGCTGAGGATTGCCCTTTTGGTTCCTTGGGGCTGGGCGCATGCGACCATCTAAGGCACTCACGGATCGGTATGCAATCCGGATCAAATTGAACAAATGTACAACTTGGAGGGGTGAGGCGCACGACTTGGAGGAATTCTTTTTCGAGTGCCCACTGAAAACAGTTATTCACGGTGGCAGACAGTGCAAGGCCGATCAAGGCCGCATGCGCGCATGATCACAGCGCTCGGCTCAGGAGGGAGACCCTGGTTTTTGCTGCCAAGCGTGGGAGGTTAAACATTCTCATGAGGCTCATGGCTAATATGCATGGCGAGTGGGTTTGAATGAAATGGATCAGCACTCGATTAGAGTTAGGAGTCAGAGGTGGTGTCGATGTACCGCTGCACGTGACAAGTTTTCCGGCACATGGGCTGATGCCATTTACACAAAGATTGGGGTGGCATTGGTAGATACAAGTTATTCGCATTGGTCAAGGGTTTCGCTGGTGACTGAGGTGCCTGTGTGAAAAGTAAATCACAAACCTCAGTTGTCAATGGTCAAGCGTACAGCTTTGAGCTAGCGAAGAGTTGAAGAGCTGGATTCTGCAATGGCCAAAGCCGGCACACTTGGAAGAAGGAGTGGTTGATTCATGGGAAATTCCATGCCATCCCCCCTCACACACATTCCCCAAATCTCTGAAAACTATTTAAAGCCTCCAAGAAACAGCGTGGCAGCTCATGTTTTTTATGGATGATATGCTAGATTTTGACCGGGCCTCACATCACAATTATTACATTACATGACATGTCATCAGCTTCGCAATCGCCAACCATTTCACCATATTTCACCAGACCACGAGTCGGCGAACTCCAAATTACAATGTGCCACGTTACCGCCGTGCACTGCGTTACCTTTGAAATCAACATACCGTTGGCTTCACATTAAATTGCGTTTCACTGCTCCAATTTTTGACTGTTTCCACTTCGCCCCGTGACAAGTCAGCGCATTGCGCATGTACACATTACATCAACACATGGGGCATTGAACAGCATGGCATAATCGCATCACCCAACAGCTTTGAAAGCCTGAGAACCCAACTTGTCAAACAGATTTCCCTATTTGAAACTTGCGCCGAGTTGTGAGCTTACCTGGTAGACGTGACAGTTTCCGCACGAATGCGAGATGTGTCTTGCACGGTATTGGTATTTATTAAATGTATGTATATTCAGCTTCCGCGCAATGCTTGCGAGGTGCTTTTGGTGCTTCAGTGCCTGTCGCACAGGTGGGGCAAGTCAACCAAGCCATGAAGGTTCAAGTCTGTGATATACCCATTTAAGCATATGCATATTTAAGCTGTGTTAAACATGTTTTTGACGTGCTCTCTGAAATCATAGATGCATTGGATCGCGGTTGCGTTTCTGCCTGCCTAGTGTTTTGTCATCGATCTTGATCAAGCGAACCGTGGAAACACAATTTTCCTTCTTTCCTGAGTGGGTAGCGAAGGGTTCCTGTTGATTTACAATGCAGGTCTGGGGGCTGGACCTCATCGTTTGTGTCGACTCGTCGCCATCTCGTCGGGGAAAAGAGGCACGCGCTCGTCGATCCAATTCCTTCCATCGGAAAAAAAGGTGCCGAAATCATTCCAAACATGAGGAAATTGTGAGGTTGCGACGTTTTGCACAGGTGAGTTTCGCTGTGCATTGGGATTGGCGCGTCGGCAGCTGCTCTTTCGCTTGGCAGTGTTGCATGCTGCGTTTCCTCTGATGAAACTTACCATTTCACTCTTAGAGTCGAGGAGGTCTGCTCGTTGTGGAGAGTTCTCGGAGTGACTTTTGGGAATGCTCGTTTTGAAGGCTTGCCACCTCACTTTTGGAGGACGTCTCGTAGTTTGGACACTTCAAACGAAAGCTTCGTTTTGGAGACTTGAAGGCTTGACGTGAGGAGTTCTCTTGCTCAAAAGGTGCCAAGCAAGAGAGTGTCCAGCATGGGTGTCTGATGAGAGCGTCCTGCAAGGGAGTCCTCAAAGGAGCGTGCGTGATGCAAAGGCGATGCGCGACCCCGCACCAAAAATCAAGATAATTATTCAGTTTATTGCTTGACACGTCCAAACTGCGCGACTCAAAATCCAAATATGTTATATATTATATATAGTGTTTTTTTTTCTGGATACATGTATAATAAGTACATATGTTTCTTAGACAGATGATTGCTAACAATACGCTGAAGTTTTACGTCGATCAACTGCATCTTTCATTGTTTCCCAAAGGTATGTTAAACCAGCGTCATCGGATTCCATTCCTGCACCTGTGGAATTGACTGCCTTCGTTTGGAGGCACCCTTTGCACGCCAACCGGTCCGTGGCTGGCTCCGGCTTTCAATGTACGGTCAGTTGCCGGAAGTCCGTTGGACCATTTGGAGTCCTATTCCGTCTGCGCAGCACCGGCTGCGCATGTGTTGACGGGATTTGACGGGTGCTTTTCACTGTCAGCGCGGCGGGGGCAGATGTGTGGAGTATGGAACATCCGGAGTCGATCACCCTTCCGACTTCCGACAATACAAGACCTACAAAAGAGCTTGGCAATTTGCGTGGTGGGTGTGTGTGGAACCGGTACATGTGGAACAAGCCTCCTCAAAGGCCCCTTCATGTGGTGTCGCATGTCGCTTGGGGGGCATCACTGTATACAAAAGCTGGTTTGTCATTGGCCATCGGAACGACGGCTTGGGCGGTTTCTCGAGAATAGTTCTCATGATGTTCTGATTTGGCTTGGAACTGTTCCAGACAAGTTGTGGGAGTGGGTTAGTTCTTCGGGCCTGGGTCTGCCGAGGTTTTTGGCCTTTGTAGGGTCTTGGCGCACTTAGGACTAATGGCGATGGCCTCCAACCTAGTAGCAATGTCCTCCAACCTACTAGGGATGGCCTCCACCCTGGATTGAGGTGAATTCTGCTCACTTGGGCGTTGTGCAGGGATGTTACTTGCGCTGTGCAGCTGCGTCTTGCTGTCTTGCTGTGCAGCTGCGTCTTGCTGTGCCTCCCCTGTGGAGGCCACGGCGGTGTGTTCGCGCTGAGGTATGTCAGGCGAGAGTGTCAAGCAATGTTTGGTCACTGGTGTTTGCGTACGTTTGTGCATTCGGGCGTGCGGGCTCCATTTTATTGCGCACAATTTTTTCAAGATGATTTGTTCATGCGAACGGGTCTAATTATATTATATACAAGGGAATTTCATGTTAGCCAGTGCTGCTACCTAGCTACCTTGCGCAAGGCCTCAACCTCCACAAACATAGTGAACGGAACCCCTTGGTCAGTGTAGAAAATCTGCCTGTTGCATTCTGTTGTCTCATATCTTTTGTCCTCAGACCATCTTGGATCCTTGAGGCAGCCGTCACAGATATTGTGTCAGAGGGTGCTGCTACTGCGCTGAGCCGTGTAGCAGCTGTCTCTTGACGTCAAGATTGCTCGGTTGCCTACGTGAATAACACATCGCGAGGGTAGACAGACACACCTAGCAATTTCAGCATCGACAGATACATACAAATACACAGTATTTTGTTTGTAGGGCGCAATGCTGTATTTGCAACTATGCAATCACCTCAGATCTTGGAATTCGCATCTTTGTTCATAACCATTGCTTTTGGGGGATGGGAGTTAATCTGAGATGCCAAGGCCGCGCAGTTAGGAGTTGTTGTTGGTCCTGCAGCTTCTGCCTTTCTGGCAGCGCTGTTGGGCAAGGCAAGCCAGCCGTGTTCCACGTGTGTGACCCTTTGTTTTAGCCAAACAGCGGCAATGGCAAACGGACGGCTAAAGGGTGATGCGTGATGAAGAATAGTGCTGGTCAGTGGAACGAGAAGGTGTTCATCACGATGGGGCAGCTAAGCTTTTCAGCATGAATGTGCAGAAAAGAGTACCAAACCATACCAAACCCATTCTGGTGTTTTGTTTGACTGCAATTGACCAGTCTAGAACAACAGAATTGAATATCTAAAACAACACATGAAGGTGATCCTGTTGCGCCGCTTTTCCACGGGCAGACATCGCACTGCCAGGCCTTTGGGTGGCCATCGAGTCTCTGCGTGCGTGGAGTCTTCGGCCTCACTGGCATAGCTGCTCTGATGGTCTTGGGCCTATCAATGGTTGTAGCTCCAGGCTGGTCTTGTTGCTCTCTTTGCTGGTCTTGTTCCTATGTCCAATGGCTCTGTGTTGCCACCATCTTGCACGCCCATGAAATCACCATCAATGCCTGTGCCTGAGAACTTGTGTGGCAAATCTGAAACTTGCACAAGAGAGACTAGCAGATACTTGATGGATACTGACACTGAAAGCTGAGACTTGTAATCTTACTGAAGCAGGGCAAGGGTTCATTGGAGGGAATCACTTGAGAGCCGCAATGGGAAGGAGGTGGCAAAGCAGCACAAAGTATTGCAGATTCTTCTTCAGCGGCGCAGAGAGGTGAGGGCTGGAACTGTGTCAAACAGCATTTACACAGGCTTGCACACTTGTAAGTACTGACACTGGCGGACCTCAAGCTCAAGCACAACGGATTCTTATTTGTCCCTGGCGGATTTTCGGGTCCCAGCCATGTGGGTCCGAGCCCATCGTCAGGTGAGGATTTGACAACACATCCATTTGCTCAACCACTCCTCCGGATGGTGGCTTTGGTGGTTGGATGGTCGTTGCTCGACTGCAAGGGCTTGGTTCCTACTGAACCAGCACCATGCCCATTCAGCAGTAGCATCCAGTAGCAAAGCAGTTGTTTTGCTTGTTTCATCTCGATTGTCCGTTGGTTGGCCCTTGAGTGAAACTGAAGCCATTTGTGCACAAGACAACATGGCCTGGACGCTGATGGCCTGCACAAAAACAACAGCCTGTGGACACATGCTTTTTCTTGGACGCTGGGGTTCTCCACTTGCAAGACATCTGGGTGTTGGAGTTGTTTTGGGGAACTGCGCAATGCCACCAGAGCAGGTTTGTGGTCACTTACACACACACAGCTCTCCGTAAGTTTTGTTGCGAAGCAAATCTTCTTGCCAGGTTGACCTTGAGCGTCGCTTGTTTGCAGCCAACTGTGCAGTGAGTGGGACAGTGACTTAGATACTGTGACTTTAGAGATGCATCCAGCTTTCCAACACTAAAAAGACTTGACGTGACAAGTTTGCAAACTTGGCAGGTCAGTACCTACTGCCTCTTTGCCAATCGATGCTTAGGCATGGCTCAGTATGGGCATCCTCCTGAAATTCAAATGTCTCATGCTGTGATTTCATGATGCCTCTACCTCAAAGTACTCCAATGCTTAGAGCTTACACAGTGCAGCTGTAGGTAGGTGCCAGGTGCGACTTTCTTCTGCACCTTGCAGGCTACGACCAGCAGAAGCTTAGCTTGGTTTTCTCCACGGGAGCTGCAACAACTGTGCTGACTCAATTGCTGTTGTTCCCAACATTGGTCTGGGACCTCAGAGGCCCTCAGGGAGCTCGTGATGTGATTGTGGGTACTGGTGATACTCGTTGGAAACATCAAGAAACACGTTGTTGGAGCACAGCAAAACAACACGTCGTCCACACACGTTCAGAATGTGTTCCGTCTTAGACAGATTGGCAACGATTCTTGAGCGGCTCTCGCTTCCTTGAAGTGTTTGTACGACTCTGACTCTTCACCATTCTGCGCATTTGATGGCTGGTTCTTTCTCTTGTTCACCACTGGATTCGCTGGCGGTGTACTGGCCTTGGAACATTTTTACAGGCTTAGACATCAGTATGATTCAGTATGTTGACATCTACATCAGTCCGCACTGAATTTTGCTAAAGTCCATTCTTTCGCCGGTCTTTTTTTGGCCACACGTCCAACTGAGGTTGGCCTCTTAGGCCCAAACCTGGCCTCTTGCTCAGAAGAATACGACGCTCTCGTCGGGTCGTCGAGTCGGACGCGCTCGTCAAGTCAGACGCTGAAGAAGGACTTACTGTAAGACTAAAGACGAAGGTTCAGTGCTGCAACTTACTGAAGGTTCAGTACTCTGGAGATTCTCCTGTTGCATTGCCGCAATCCTCGTTGTGCCGTTTTTGGGTTGAACACATCAATGGTGAGGGTGTGTGCAAATATACAGTAGGTTTGGGAACGATGCTTTGCCCCCTGTCATACCGATACTATAAATCTAGATTTAACATATATACAACAATACAGTCAATATAGATATAGATATCGATATATGGCAATGCCTTCCGCTTGCTTCGACTTAGCTCGCTGACAGACCTGCTTCCTTGGCATATGCTGCGTGGCTCTTGGCCTCAGTGGCTTCTCGCTTTGCTGGCTTCAGCCAGGCCGAAGTAGAGCTGAGTGGCAACAAGTTTTCGGGTAGATGACATCAGGCTTCACTTTTCTGACTGTTTTATTGTGAGAAAGTTCTGGTTGTTCTCCCCATGGTATTGAGCACCACATTCTTGATGCTTTCGCCAGTTCACCTGCCCTGCATTGTACATAGCCGACATAGCTTCTCTTCTATTATTGACGCATGGTTACCCCAAATATCCAAGATTGAGATGGCTTTGCGACTCCAAGTGTGAAATAACTACTACTGGCGCTACGGACACGAGTCCTGCATTCATTTCTTGCTTCTTGCCGTGTCCAGTTCTGCTATTGACACGAAGTGCCATCAGGGCACATGCTTTTCTACCTGCTGGTACGGATGGGCAGTGGCTGTGCGGACACCTCTACAGCAACTTTGGTGGCTGAAAACTCTAAGCCCAAGGCGAGATGCACGCGATGGACATTATGACATACATTATCCTTACAGTCACATAAAATGGTGGAATTTTGACTATGTAATCACCTGCCTTCTTAAACTGTCTTTTGCTATTCCGGTTGTTCTTGAACAGCTACTGGCATCGCATCGTTGGAGGACCGAGCACAAAACCTCGGCTTTATCACCTCCACTCGCGCAGCTACGCGGATTGTGACGCCCATTGTTTCGGCTGATTTGTTTGAGGCCGACATGCAAAACATGAAACTCGGTGAATCACACTTCCACATCTTCCACTGAAGTTGTTGCCGTTCCAAACTTGTTTGGCTGCTTTCCTGGTTGGTCAGCATGTGGTCCCAAATGCGCGAGGCTAGCTTGAACAGCCGTGCAGCCCCTGGTGCATTGCCATATTTGCTGCTGCGAACTCAGCTTTCCGGAGTCAGTATGCCCACTGCATTTTTTTTTTCGCCGCTTTTGGTCCCGGGTTGAGAGATTATGTCTTGATCGCATGATTTCCTCCAGCCAAGGGAACGGCATCCACTTGGTTGCTATATACTCTTGTTGCAGCATGTCGTAGTTGAAACATTTGAAGCACTATATATAAAGGCTTTGTGTTTTTCTCACCCGAATCCTGTAGCTGCAGGGCCTCCTCGTTGGCTGCTGGACTCAGCCCAGTGCCATTGATGCTGCGAGGGAAAAGTTGAAGCTGAGGGGAAATGGTCGTCAGAGATTGGAGAAGTGAGACTAAGTCAACCCTATTCTTAGAGCCTATGTCTATGTGTTATGATATGTCATGCTGCAGCCCACAACTCAGGCTTTATAGCAACAACAATGTTTTCTACGAGGCCTTAGCCTGGGAGCTGAAAGACGTCCGGCTCCCCAGCAGGGTCAGGTGGCATAGGAATTCAACGATTCTTCCTGATTGGAAACGGCTCCAGGTAGAACGGCTGCTGAAGGAAGAGCTCCAAGATTTCAAAAATGCCAGCAACCCAGCTCACGATGAACATTCTGAAAGAGATTGCAGATGAATCTTATCCAGACAGCTAACTGTGATGTGGTGTGCAAAACCGTACATATATGTATATATTGCATCTCTACCACATGACTGAGACCTTGCCTTCCCTCACTTTGGTACACCTCGTTCGACTTGCGATCCGTGTCCCCGCTTTTAGTCTTTCGTCCTGTTGTAGAAGCGGTACATGAAGCGTTGAACCTAAATAAATCAAAGTGAATGATGGTTGCCCAGAACGATTGATTTGCACCAAAGCAAAGGCGACTTGGGACAGGACAGGTCATTCAGACCTCATGATGCACCAGCGTGGGCGTAAGACCTCATGGAGTTAGAAAAAGGTTCCAACCAGAAGGCACTCATGCATTCAGCTGTTTCTCCCTTCTTGAGATATTGATTTATAGTGTATATAATCTACTGTAGCCTGCTGTTGCAACCTGAGATAATAGTCCTAAATGACACTGTTCAATGTGGTATGTGAGAAGGGGGCAGCATCAACGATATTAAGCAGAGACAATAACAATTGCTGGTATGTTTTTGCCCAGGCTGGTCTCGATATACTTGCAACGCTTTAATCACTTTGTGGGCATTGAGAATCAAAGGTCCGAAGCGCCAACCTTAAGTTTCGCACTAAGGTGCATATTGATCTGGAACCATGGTGAAGAAGCACTCTCCAAGGTGCTGGGAAGACATTCACCAGTGTTTCGGACGTTTCTGTAGCGCAGAAAGAATATCAAGGAAGAAGAGGAAGAACATGGAAGAACATGGAAGAACATGGAATGGCTTCACAACAGGACTGAATGGCTATCAAATTCCTTCGCAGCTATCCACGCAGTCCAGTAGACGTCCGAGTCTAGACTGACCTAAAGTCGGGGAGCTAAGATCTCCACCAAAGTCCAGTTGCGTCCTCCGGGTCGCCGAATGTAGCTGGCCGGGTTGCCTGAATGTCACGAGACAGCCCTCAGGGCACAATGCCATTGGTTGAAGGAGAATGATGATGACAGTGACGCTCCGCCTCTAGTCATTTAGAGAGTTCTTAGAGATGTACAGGAATTTGGGCACAAGGTGTGCTTGGGCATGGATCAGCTGATTCGATAAGCCATGCTTGTGGTGCCGGTCAGTCATGGTCAGACAAACATATTAAAGTTACTTATTGTCCAGTGTGCTGAAAAGAGAGTCTACTTGCGGCATCAAGTACAGAGAAGCGCTCGTTTGTAGAGGAAATTGCTCAGGTTGAGTGTTGGATGATCCTTCTCCACGCAACTCCTTAATATTCAGATCAAATAATTGAGATAGAGGTTGTGATCGTCCAAGCAACCCAACAATAGATAAAACACGTTTGTTGTTTAACTTTTTTTGACAAGAACCATTCGGTAGTTGGTTGTTCCTTCCAATATCTTCCAATGTTGTGGCTGTTTGTGCATCCGTCGCATCTGCCTTGATACCCCATTGGTTGGCATGCAGGTGGTAGAGCTAGAGGTCGACAAGTACTGCTCTCCGTGTGTTTGAGCCTGTTTTGAGACCTTGGGTGACCTTGGGTACAGCAAAGCTTCAGCAAGTGCGAAGGTGTAAAGCAAGCTGATTTCTCCATAAGCCAAGCAGCCTGCAGCTGTACAAAGGAAGCCACGCCTGGCCAAGCAAATCACTGTATTCTTGGCTTGGTTTGATGTGAAATTCAAAGACGTGTGCGGTGAGTTGTTCGAGGATTGATTGAAACACAAAATTAAGCACCATGTCACCATGTGCACTGGCCACGCCAAACCAAATGCTTTCAATATCTGAGATCATGGAGCTGCTGCATGAACTTTGAGATGCTGATTCTTTGCTGCAACTGCCTTTCCATAGTGGTTGTGCCAACATGATTGATCGTTTTTGCAGGCTTTTTCCAATGCATGGGATGCACAGCATGTGTTTGACACAGACCGAAGGAAGCTTGACTGACTGACTTGAATTGTTGTATGCAAGGGATCAAGGAGAACATATATATATATATAAAGCATCATAAAGCACTGACTTGATTTGTTCATCAAGGATCCACATATCTAGGCACGCCCTTTATTTGTTTAGGTGTTTGTCAGGCTTGCAGCACAAGGTACCGTCTCGCATGCTCATGCAATCGCAATTGCTCATGGATTGGATGTGCTGGGCTGAAGAGCTCCAGGTAGAGCGAGGGGGCTAGTGACTCTGTTCAAACCTTTGGTGTCGAAGACTCTGCAAGCTTTGACGGGCGACTCTGCTGCTTAGGTCGTTGAACATTTGCAGTTTGATAGTGTTATGTGCTCAAATTTCAGATGTATCAATGAGAATGCATCGGGAATGATGTGCCTCACATCTCGCGCAATCCTTGTCAGGTGGGCGACGAGGTTTGGCACCAGCGCAGTACTGGGGAGATTGTGCGGGCCATTGTTGTTCCTTGGCTGAACGACCTGAAGGGTGTGATATAGAGAAGTGCTCAAGGACGAGTCGCTGAGCTTCTTACTGTCATTCTCTTGTTTGCTATCATGAAATACTCCTCTACCTGTCATCCCGTGATCGGGCAACGTGGCATATTGCCGTTTGCAGATCAAAAGGCGGTGCACCAATACACCGGCCTGACATGAATTGATCGCATCGTAGAGCTTTTAAAGTACAACCGCAAGAATAGTGTTCAGAAGGATTGAAGTATATCACTTTTTTATGGGGGCCCTGAATGCCTGAAAGTTCAGATCAGATCAAAAAAGCAAGAGCGGTGAGATTGAACAGATCCGAGGGATTTAGAAGGGAGATAACAGATATCAGAATGGGACAGTTGACTGGTGGAATTTGAGGCATCCGAAGTTGTCGGCGGAGGAATATACAAATAGTGCAAGGATTATATATATATGTTACCATTCATGCTGTTTTGGCATTGAAGGTAGATTGTGTTCTATACGTAGTCACACACGCACCCTTTTGCATTTCAGGGCGAGCAATGGCTGCTTTCTTTGGTGAAAGTTAAATGGTCAAAACCGCAGGTCAAAAAACACAAATAATAAGATATGAATGGCAGAGCATCAATCGATGGGGCAAACTCGTTTTAGCTGTGTTTGCTCACGGCATGCTTAGAGGTTTCCTTCAACCACTTGTAAGAAGACCTGACAAGATCAAAGGCTTTGGGGTATGTGTATATATACACATACATCTTGGAACATGAGCAGACAACAATCCCAAATTTGCCACAGCAGCACCCTACTAGCGATGGCCTCCAACCTAATAGCGATGGCCTCCAACCTAAGACGCTGGAAAAGAAAAAATAACAAGAGTCAAGAAAAGGCGAAACACATGTCCAGCATCGAAGGCATATATTGGCTGATCATGGCTATCAATTGTCCATGAAGGTGCAGAGACTTTTGATGTACTCCAAAGTCAGAGCAAACACACTTGAAAACTGCTGCAAAGACCTACCTATTAGATGACTCTCTTTAGTCTGCCCCACTTGAAGCGACTCTCAAGTTTCAAATGACAGCTGTTTCACCACAGCCTGACACAGAGCCTGAGCAATCCACGTAGAGCTGGACGCCTTTGAGAAGCTCACCTGAAAAACAGGTTCGATTGAAGTCGCAACTCACTGTAAAACGGAGAAAAAAGGCCTCAGAAAAAAAGGTAAAATAAGAATCTCTCTGAGAAGCGCAAGAATGATCAAACCAGTCGCTTATCTTCAAATAGCCGCCAGCCATTTTCTTATCCTGCGCAAGAACATAAAAAACAATTGCAACGTCTGAGTCTGACTGTGCAGTCCTTTGGGCTGCTCTTTCCATACTCCTCTCCGCGCGGTTCTGTCTCATCATCGCTGAGGGAGCCAGACTCATCATCCTCATATGCCCTGGCCCTGGCCTCAACTCCCAGACAACGCAGTGCAACAAGTCGTTAGAAAATTAAATAGAAAGGTACATATTGGAGGCACTAGTAGTATGTACGTTGCAAAATGCAGGCATTGCACAAACGGCGGGGTTGGAACTATTGCAGGAAGCAAGCGAATGGTCCAACAGGGTATCGTTCAAACAAATTTGACACAACGCATGAAACAAGTTTTACACCAACAAATGTGGTTCTAAACAAGTGTCTGTCTCAAAGTACTTGCTCTAAAGGAGTTAAATCCTCCAACTGTGGAAGGTTTAAACTGGCTTGCTCGCCCTTCCAACCCAAACATGACGAGCAAACCCTTGATTCAGAGCAAACAAGGAGAGACGGCTGTTTTCTTTGCAAAGCAAACTTCCAGTGGCTAGTTTGCATAGCCTTGCTATCACTGCATTCAATCGCTTTGTTGCTCTAACATCGCTTTGCTATCACTTGTGCTTTTATATACATTGCTCTTCCTTTGCTTTGCTCTACTTTGCTGCTTTGCTTGTGCTGACTTTGCCCGCTTTGGTGGTGCTTGTGGTCTAAGCCCGTTGGTTTACAGGTGCCTTGATGATGCAACCTGCTCCAAAGAAAGGCATCATACAACGATGTGCGCCTCAAAGCGGGTAGCAAAGGCAACCCCAGCAGCTTCGCACTTGTTGAGTGGAAGCTCCTGACAAAAACAGAACTGGATAGTGATTCGTGCGACTGTGAGAAGTTGGTGCGAATCCTGGAGTTTCAAGTTACTTTCCCGCACCGTGATCGCAGATTCCCGCGCTCAGCACAACGAACTGAGATTGAAGCTTTCCAACAAGGTCCGAAGGTAAAGCTGATGAGCTAGAGTCTTCCCTGTTGGAAATGCACATACCCAACTACAACAAACCTTGAACCTGCAAGTTCTTGCACATGCGCACATTCCAAGGCAGAGATTTGCTTGAAATCCGGGACTTGTCGGGTGGAGTACAACATGCCTGGAGGCCACTGGGCTGAAACAGAACTCAAAAGACTCAAAAGGGCTATATGTCACTTTAGCACACAATGAATCTGCTGTAGTCGGCAAAGGTCCTGCTTCCAGATCACCCCCTCTTGGTCTCCAACGCAGTGCTTTTTGTTAGCAAAAACAATAGTTCTATCGTGTCAAATCACAATGCATACTTCAGTAGTACTTGTGACTTTTCAAAACCCCCAATTAAGCCAGGACAGCTCCGAAAGCTGCTGCGCGTCGAAGAGCTTTTCCAGCATAATCAGCCCACGAAGGCGGTGGGGAACACATCAAATGCCGTTAAGCGCATCGAAGCATCTCATCAAAAAGACGTGATTGAGGGCCGTGGGCGCGATTGAGGTGTGTAGTGAGTTTTCCTTATCACAGCAACCAGATAATCCAATGTTGGTGCCTGTGGCGGAGTATTTTGGTGCTTGCGTGAAATTCCAAACATGCCTGTTGACAAAAGTGGCGTTCAAACTGTTTGTGGAGAAAGCCCCCTGACCATTTGCCTTAAGTTCTTGAAGAGAATTGACAAGCTACAGTGCACGAACCTCTAAATCGGAATGAAAACCCAATCCTTCAAGGTGCATGAAGACATTTGAACACTATCAATATCTATCAATCAGGACAGATCCTGTATTCACAGACTTGGGCCATGTCGGTGCTGCAGAAGACTGGGCCCTCACTTCTTGGCCGTCCATCATCTTGGCCGTGCAAGAAGACTCCCAAATAAAGGGAGTATAATATGGTCTAGTTTTAGAAAGTGTTCTGATGTGTTTTGCCTCATGGTGTGGTTGCCAAGCAAAACAGACGGCAAAGACCGATTTGAGGAGCATTTGAAGCATGTTCATATCATGTAGGTTTTTTCTCAACATAGGGAGGCCCCGAATCATGCGATTTTCCATTGACCCTGGTGCCTTTCCTAGCTGGATGACGACGAAGGTGGACAACAGTTTGAAAAGAACCACTGGAGTTTCATTCAACCATATTTGGAACATGAGAACAGCATGAACACCTGCGAGCATGTAAGTTGGGTTACTTTGCCCCGAACAAAAGATTCTCTTTTTGTGCCCACTGGGTCCAGCAATATCTTGCATACAGAATTGGAATCTTTCCTCATATACAGTACATGCCGGGACACAGTTCTATGCTGATCCTCCTACCACAAAGTAATAGTTGTTCCCAGGAAAAGGAGGATAATCCTCCGTTTGTAGTTCTTGAGCCGCTTGTTAAAAATTTCAACTTGAACCCATTCTGAACCGACTTGGAAGATGCTGCCTCGTAGCCTATGAATTTTGCGAGTCTCATACTTTGAACGAACAGATTCAAGGTTGTAAGTTGTAGCATGCAACTACGTACTGTATACTACAAGATTGCAAAGAGGCAAGCCCGGACAAACATGCGGGCAGGTTGTCGCCGAGCAGGAAGAGGGTGAAAGCCTTGAGGAAGAGGTGGTCAGAGCTTGAACACATGGATCTCAAGACTTATAACTGATATATATATATATTCTGTATATATATATACACGCATAAAGAATAGTAACAAATTATGCAGGCATAATACAGCAAAACATATTGGCTCCTGGCGAGCTGGATGAATTTTGAGGCAGCAGTTTAGCGCCCTTTTTTTGTCGATGGTGTTTTAGTGGTTTAGCGCCCTGTCGGCGCCTGAAACGTTCGTCAGGAATAGAAGTTCCCAGTTCTAGATGTGGAGACGTGCACACACACAAAACCAGAGTCTTGACTTCCTAGAGCTCAGTACAGGAAAACAACGACAACTGTCGCCATTAATAAATTCATAGCGATTGATCTGAGTGCTGATTTGCCTTGGACTGGATGATGGCTGTAGATCAGGTGGACCCCGACCAAGCCTTTCAGCAAGAGGACCTGCCAGAGACAGTGCTTGCCTCTGAAACGGACCATGAATGGAAGTTGAAATGTGCTTGTTTGTTCGTTTGTTTGCAACATGGTTTATATAATAGTCTGATACAATATGCTCTGAAAGCAGTTGAAGAGCAATAGCTTTTGTGTCAACATGTGTGTTGCAGGCATACTTTAAAGTTACATGTTTGCTGCAGCAAGTATGAATTCCTGTAGTGGGTTCCTCTTTAGATCCCTTCATTCCACTCATCACAGTAGTCATTTCTGGTTGTCTTCGTGTGTCTCAGTGGGTTGCTTCGAGTGACCCCAGGCAAAACCTTTCACGCCAACATACTTGTCTGATGCCCTGCGCTCGGCATGCCCAACATTGTGTGCTCGGCATGCCCAACTGGCAAGCTAGGAAGCAGTGATGTTTAATCGGAAAGAATCACAGTGTGTGTGTGTGTGTGATGCGGCTGTGAGAAAGGTCACTAAATGCTGGAGTTGATAGCGAAGCTCAGTAGTTGGCCCCCATGTTCACTCGCTGCACGTTTGCCCCTAGTCCTTGAAGATTAAGGTCCAACGAATTCTGGATAGCATGCAAATGCTGCAGGAGGAACTTCAGCTTCACTTGGATACGGTGGGCAGCGGACGCGGACCCTGATAGTCACGACGATTTGGGTATATAATCAATTTCTCGAGCAATGCACTGCAAGTCGCTGTGTCCCGCAATGCATGTCACCCGGTAGGGTACAGAATACGCAGGGTCTGATTTCAGGATAAGCACCAATAGGATCCAATAGGTGAGCTGAAATGATTGCATGTCACATGAAGTTGCTGGGTTTCATGAATCAAGATACTTTGTTTGCTTTGAGGCTTTGGTTTGTAGAATGTCACATCCTGATTGGCTTGACATTTCCGTCTAAGCAGCTTTAGCAGGGGGATGTGTCGACGATGGAGCAGCCAGCACCCATTAGCTCAGCTGCTTGGCATCGCTGGGACTTTTTGGGTCTTTGCCACCAGGGCCCACCCTTCTTGAGATTCCTTTCCTGGTACACAACAAATCACAACAAAGTTCGCCAAAGATGCATTTGCATGCATGACATAGTTGTAGTGCCATGGGCGAAGCTTTGCATAACAATGTTGATCCCGTGGTGCATGTTGCATTGCATTGACTTGCATTCCATTAAATGCATTATTTTGTCAAGAAAGGTTTGAGCAACTGTAAGTAACCAAGTGACTAGTTTTACTGTAGATTTGTAAACCTTTAGATTGGCCGGAGTCACTGCAGCACGAGGAAAGCGCAAGCACCACCTCTCAAGAGACACAAGATGCAGATCCACCGCTACCAGCACCAACTATGCCGTCGCTTTGCCCTTTCCAGGAAAAGAAAGCAGTGAAGGTTGGATAATTTGATAGATTGACCCGCTTTGCACTTCAAATATACAGAAAGACAAAGCATGACAAAGCCAAGATGTTCCTGTGTCAGCCTGTTTCAAGACTACCCTTACCTTGCCCAAGGCCTTCCTTGGTAAGCCTGGTCGCAGACAGCATCCTTTCACCAGAAGCGCAGCGTGACGTGGGGCTGCCATGCAATTTGGGCGATTTAAGCATAGACCCTAGAGGGGATAAAGTCGAGTTCCGCAACTGCGCAGGATTCCGCAACTAGGATTCCGCAACTGTTTGGTCGGATTCCGCAACTGGGATTCTGCAACTGGGATTCCGAAACTAGGATTCCGCAACTAGGATTCCGCAACTAGAGTTCCGCAACTAGGATTCCGCAACTAGGATTCCGAAACTAGGATTCCGCAACTGTCAAGATTCCGCAACTAGGATTCCGCAACTAGGATTCTGCAACTGGGATTCCGCAACTGGCGTTCCGCAACTAGGATTCCGCAACATTGTGGACTCCCTCCCTAGGATTCCACAACTTTGTGAATGATGAGGAATGTCGAGATCACACGATGGGGACAAGGGGGGGTTGGGGGGTGGGGGGGTTGGGTGGGGGGCTAATGACGTTGGTTTGGATGTGCTTCGAAGGTGATGTCACAGGCACACACGCTATCGCATGATGTGGAGATCACCAGTTGCAAGTTTCAGAAGGCAAGTTGCAGAATCTGACTTTCCAGTTTCAGAATACCAGTTGCAGAATTTGACTTTCCAGTTTCAGAATACCAGTTGCAGAATCTGACTTTCCAGTTTCAGAATACAAGTTTCAGAATCCCAGTTTCAGACTCCTAGTTTCAGAACCCAGTTTCAGAATCCTAGTTTCAGAACCCCAGTTTCAGAATCCAAGTTTCAGAACCCTAGTTTCAGAACCCCAGTTTCAGAACCCTAGTTTCAGAATCCGACCGATTAGTTTCCGAATCCGGCTCTAACCACCCTAGAGGCTAAAGATGTGGGGTTCTCCGAGCAAAACGAGACGAACAAGTGTCGTATGACGTTGTGTTATGCATTGAACTAAGCCTTTGAAACAGATATTCAAGTTGCTTCGCGACGACCACCGCCCGCAACCGCCCGCACCCTTTGCTTCCAGAGAGGGCGCAAGGAAAGGCATGTCCAAGCCGGCACTGCAGATGGGTAACCGAATGAGCAGATGTAAGAATGATTAACTAAGATGATGTTTATGTGTATTGTGAATCATTCAGATGATGTTTGTTTGTATTTGTAAGATGTTTGACTATATCGCACAGTGAATTGTAATCATGATGTTTGTCGACCCCCTTGACATTGTACATTTTGTTTCAAGGGTCCAACTTATATCCAACAATGACTGCAATTGTTCATTTCCCATATGCGTCTTCGTTTATCCACTGCGTGGCCCTTGTCATCTCTAGGTCATCATGCATACTGGAAAGTGCTTGTCATCACTCTATCCCCTTGAAATTGTATGTTTTCAGGGGGGCCCAACTTATGTCTAACGATGCCTGTATTTTCCAATCTTTCCCATGTACTCAATGTACTCCATTGTTTGCCCCCCTTTGAAACTGTACCTTCAGGGTGTCCAACTAATATCAATATTTCCCAAATGCTTCTTGCATTCATCCGCTGCATGCTACCGTTCATCTCTAGGTCTAGGTCTTTTGCATATTGGAAAGTTTTTTGTAATAACTCTCTTTTGCAAGGGGTCCAACTTATGTATGTATATATATATATATATCCAACAATGCCTGCCAATATTGTGCCGTTTAAGTCTATGCCTTATATTGATCATGCATATTGTATATTGATGTATATTGTTCTTTTTTGACCTTGAGATGACACGTAACATGCAGTCGATTAATAGTAGAAGTATCTGGGACATGACAGTCTGCAGACTTTGTTGGATATAAGTTGGACCCCCTGGAAAATGTACAACTTCAAGGGGGGTCAACAATAGAGTGATGAGAAAAACTTTCCAAGATGCGTTGTGACGTAGAGATGACGCGTACAATGCAGGAGATGAATGACAGAAGTATACTGGAAATGAACCCCCTTCAACGTGTACACTTTCAACGGCTCGAACAATAGAGTCGTTACTTCAATATGCATGATAACCTGGAGATGACAAGTACCGTACCGTAGATTGATCTCACCCAGGAGTAAGATTGATGTGGGGCTTTTGATGGTGTAGATCAGGCCGTCATGTATGCGCATGACAGTCTGATCAGGCCGCATGTCTGATCGTCAGGCCATGTTTCCTTCAAACGCCGGATTTCTCAGGTGAAGAACACAATGTTTTCGAAGAACGCATCGCGTGGCACAATATGCTAAACCTTCTTCCGAAAAAGAACTCTCGAGCTCTCAAGACCCTCCACGCCACCTGTCCAAACTGCAATGCTTTCGCCTTCAGCAAAAGCTCGACTTGAAAAGCTTTCTTCGCCAAAAGCCTCAATGCCAGCTGGAGTGTCTGTTTCCAGACTTGCAAAGCCTTGTTCGATAGAGGCAGCAGCGGTTCCTTCGATGCTTTTCTGCAATGCCTTCGCCTTCGACAGAACATAGGCTTGCAAAGACTTCTTCACCAGAGGCAGCAGTGCCCCCTTCGCTGCCACTGCACAGACTTGTCAGAATTTTCACACGAAGACCATGGTGATGTTTGCTGCAGATGCTCTTGACAATGTGCCTGCCCGAGAAGCCGAACTTCAAGAAGACAAAGCAGGGGCAGTGGCAAGGTACGCATGAAGGAGTGCAGACGCTTGTAACAAGCGCCCGGTGTGCAGATTTCCTCCTCCCAAGAAGGAGGATAGAAAAACACTTCCTGTGATAATGCCAGACGCTGACAAGCAAGATGGTGAGGAGAAGAGGAGGAAGAGGCTTCCAACTTCAGACCCCAAGAAGGTTGTGAGGGGCTTGAAATTAAAGGAATCAAAACGAAGGAAGGGGGGTGAGGACCTTAATCGACAATCGGATCTACCTGAAAATCTTAATTGAACCAACATCACAGCTTCTTCGGAAACGTCAAGTCCTCGGAGGACACTGCACAAACATTGCAGACACATCAGCCCCGTGCAGGGGTCATCCCCAGAAAAAAGAACATGCTCCATGTTCTTGTTGGTCCCGATGGTGCATTATGCATTGATTTCATGAATGGCTGAGAGCTTATATCACCTCAATCGCTGAGAATACAAGTGTCAGTTCAACCGTATGGGCCTCTCAAAGACGATCAAAGGCAGCCTGGACGTCAATGTTTGGTACTACGGTTCCATGTTTAGTCACCGAGCAGTTGGCCAATTGGGGTCATGCCAACATGTCGTTCTACACTCGATGCTTCAGGCCAAGACGGTGCTCCACACGACCGTCGTACCAAGGAAGATGTAGCTGCTACAATTGTGCAGTTGAAATCACTGTCACACGGTAAGACAAGGTCCATCATACCCATGGTGTCCAATTAAAGACTGAAGGTGTTGTATTTCTTGAATGTTGTTTCCCGACAGAGCTCGATCTGCTGTTTTTCTTTTTAGATTTTTGAACCAGGATGACATTGGACCTTCTTTCCTCTGCCGTCAGTGTCGCCGGGAGGATTTGGTCAGAACCTTGGTGTTGTTTTGGTGGCATTTCATTACATTTCATCTTGGGTAAACATGTTTTTACCTCTATTTTTTTATATTCATATTCGTGCATAATGTTACATCTGAAGACATCGCAGTTTTCGTAGCGGAATCCTTGAGTATTGTTGATTTGACCAAATCAAGTGTCAGGGCATCGCAAGAGAAGACGGGCAAGAAAGTGGAGAGCAAGGATGGGGGTGTTCCATCATCCTTTTGAGCGATGGCAAGGCTGGACCTGGACTTGAAGACACGTTTTGCATGTCTCACCTATTGTTTTTGTTGCATATTTGCTTATTATGAACTTGTGTCAGACCAAACCATGTTGTTGTAGAGTCGTTGTTGAAACATCATGAAATATTCACTGAAACACGTACGAGGCGACGTTTGTGAAGATTGCCAGATGGCGGGGGCCACCAAGAGTCAAGCTGAATGGCTAAAACCATCTTATGATTCAAACTCTTGACCGCAAGCCGAGGCTTGTCCAAACGAGCGTGGAACAAGAAGCTACTAGGGGCTCCTGGCTTGACTACTAGGAGCAAGGATGCTACTAGGGGCTCCTGGAATCGCTACTAGGAGCAAAGTCCAAGGCCCTTTCTTCTCGTTGGCCAGATGGGGCTTCACTGAGCCATGAAAGCGAATCTTCCTTGGTGCTATGTGTATGGCTTGAGCGGTTTCCATATCGACACAGACAGACGGTATATATAAATATATGACAATACCCAGAAGTGGCAAGGGCATAGCGGCATAGCCTATATTATATATAATACCTTCAGATTCTTATTTTTGGATCGTTGGAACTCGAATGTCTTGCGCCCGTCTCACTGTTACGAAGTGGAGATGTGGCGAAGTCACAGTTCCAAGTCTCTCACTGTTACTGTCTGTTAGAACATTTTCTGAGGTTGTCTAATTAAATTGCAATGTACACACAGACCAGGCTAGGAAGAACCAAAGGAGACAGTGAGTCAGTGAGAGAGGCATTGAATTCAGACTTCTCGTCGAATCGCTTGGTTTCAGCACACCATAGGTGTGCTGCATTCGCAGAATTGCGAAGGACCTTTTTCCTGTGCAGCAACTTCTGATGCCATAGTCAGATGCAGCCATTAAATGATTAGGTCTGTGTGAGGACATGTTACTTGAACGGAGAGCTAGACTAGAGTGGCTAGAGACTTGGTAGGACTTGTGCGTAGACTTCGACGCGTCAGTCGTTGTGTCACATCGGAACGAATTAGGCCGTGAGTCGTGCCCTAGGCAGTACTCCAGGCACATGTTTTCAGTCCAACTACAGCGTTGAAGCCGGAGCTCGTAGAAAAGAGGAGCTCCACCAACCTCAGAATGTTGGGAGGAGACCCAACTTTTGTATGTGCTGGTGCTTGGTACTTCGGTGTTGTGTCCATGCTGCAAGGCTACGAAGTAGCACAGCACCATACAGTTTGGGAAGCAATGTTATTTCCTGCAGGAACATCGAACAAGTATAAATCATTGCAGTAGAATAAATGATCCAAACGAGTCTAATTAGGCGCTCAAAACACCAAATCTGACTGAGATACAGTCGGCACATACGGTAAATTGGCATGAATTTGTGCCATAGAAGAGGGTGAAAACGTGAAGCAGTTGCCAAAGGTGAAGCAGGTGGAGGTGAAGCAATGAGCCCTGTAAAGGGAACACTTCAACATACTTCGTCTAAAACATGCCCAAACCATCACAAAGCCATGGGGTCTGCCAATTCCAGTACACGATGTTTACCATTGTCACTAACTATGTACATAACTTTTGGACTGCGTATTTGCTACGACTGTTGTGGGTGAAGCGACTCGATGTGCGTTCTGACATGTTCTGAATGGAAGGAACTGTGAACAGATGGGTACGAGCCGATGATCACGGGTACGAGGTACGAGCTGATGAACCCAATCGTGTTGGGGATGTGTGGTTCGTGTAAAAGCCCGTGAAGGTACCGCTGTTCGCTGAACAAATGGAGGTGATTGTGTCGTGGACCGGATCCACCATGAATATGTGCTGTTTTGCTGTCTTGCTTTCAGCTTTCAAGGGGCCAAGACACACATTGGCTGGTGGATTTGTTTGTTTTCGGCTGAGATGTATGCTAGAGGAACTATTCTCTTAGCTGTGAGCATGCTGTCCTTACTGCTAAAATGGGTGTTGTTGAATCAAGGGACAGCTATAAAGATTGCAACTGTTTTGAGATTTCGCCGTGAAAACGCACGCGGCGGGTCGTTTTGGACCAGCAATGTCGTTTCATTTTTCATGACGCATTCCGAGAAGAGGAGTTGTGGTCCAGAAAAATGCGTTCCGTCGTTCTTGCCGGACGGAGAGGTCCAGGGGCTCCAGGCATTTGGTTTTGGCTGCTGTGTTTTTGCGGCTTTGAGAGGTCTAACTCTTTTGGATGGTTATTTTTAACATCTGCGTCATACATAGCTATGTTATGTTGTTTGAAGGTGGCCCCGATGTTTGAACTTCCTTCTCGAACCAAGCTCTTTCGCAGGCAGTTCCATCAGTCAGTCATTCGTTCTATCACTTTTCCAGGACCGTTTGGTACAAGGAGGGCGCCATAGGCAGGTGATGTCGAAGGGTGTGACAGTGCTGTAGCCACGCTGAGTGCCGAGTTCCTACGTGATCAACTACAGTAGCTTCGTCACAATTTGGCAGTGCAACCATAGCTCCGGAGTAAATACACTCCTTGAAGCGACCGCTAAGTGTGGAGCATGAACTCTCAAATCTTACGTATATAAGTTATTTTGATTTCCAGAAACAGTAACAAGTGCCACGCTAGTAGTAACAAGTGCCTTACTAGTAGTAACAAGAAGCTACTAGGAACAAGTGCATCGCTAGTAGTAACAGGTGCCTTACTAGTAGTAACAATGTTCGCTATTAACATCAATGGCTCACCACCTGTCACACGGGAGTAAGGCCGAGGCAGCGAGTTGATAATTCTTTGGCTGGGTGAAGACATGATACCCCGGAACTGCAGGCGACACAACCGGTACCTTTAGAGATTTCCAAGCCAGAAATTGAAAGTTGCTGCGCAGGAGTTGTGCGCCACGTGTCTCCAAGTACACGTGTTTCCAAGAGTCCGACAAAGACCGATGTTCGCTCCGACTGCTCAGCTTTGGGTACTGGCATCCTCTACGGTGCAACAAATGCGCTGGTGGGGCATCCGATGGATACCATCAAGGCAAAGTTGCTCATGGCTATTGTGCCAGACAGTTTGCAGCTATTGTTTGATCAAAATCAAGCAGAACATGTTCTTGTAAAATCACCCTTGACACATGCGCCAGGCAAAAATGCAAGCGCAGGTTGGAAGCTTGTGAACGAAGACAGCTTGAAACAGCGCTTGCAGAGCCGGCATTGAAGGCCACACTCTTCCCAGCCCTGTTGGAGTATTTTCCTCGGGCCAAGTTTTTCCCATTCGTGTGCGCTGAGATATTCATGCTTTGAATCCTCTAGGTCGGCTTCATGACGGGGCAGGAGAAGAAACAATCGGAACAGTGGACAAGACGCAATGCAAAGATATGCAAAGCACTGTGTATGTTCAAGAAGTTGCAGTTATTCTTGGAGTTTGCAGGGTGGTATTTGAGTTCGATTCTTGCATGGTGCGTTGGGGTTGCTTGCGCAAATCCTTCAAGCCCAATACCTTACAGTAGGACAGGAGGGGACAAGTCTTGGACTAGTCAATTGGTCCACCACATGCTACCATTCAACCTAGAACTGGTTGCTGTACGGCACAACAAGAGATATCAAAGGTCAAAGGTTTGTTGTTTGAATGGTGGAACCTACATAGCAATTTAGTGGAGGCTATATGTTGATCGCCGATATTATAATGATTTTCCTATAGCCTATAGGCCTGCTGTTCTCATATGTCTGAAGTAATAAAAAGCTGAATGGACAGAGCGCTCCATGGTAGCCCTCACCTAATGTGGCTCCTTTGTTGCCATGGAGAGTTGCGGGCCAACGGACACAGGGGCGGAAGCAGTTGTACGTCTCAATGTAGGCGGACACCAGTGGCTTGACTACACCACAAGAGCGAAATGCATGTGCTTGAATGAAACGATGATGAAATGCAATGCCTTCATGCTTATAATGTCTATGATTAATATAAGTACTGGTAGCACAGGGCATATGAGCATCTCAAGTCTTGAGCTAGCAAACGAGGTACACCACTGCAGTTTCAACACTTACCGGCACCGATGGAATGTTGGCAAGGATGGTGAACTTGCTTGCATGGCTTGAGCTGGGATGGGAAGCTCTCGATCGACACGTTTTTTTTGTTTGGCCTTCCGGATTGAATCATGATCTTCTTCGTGACCGGCAGCTACACATAGCATGCCAAGGCCACAATTTGAAACGACTCCTGACAATTTGTTGCTCGCAGAGAGCAGCTAGAAACTTGAACATGCAGGGCATCATCAAGAGGACCTCATAATTAGGTTTGTTGCCACATGCAGTACGGTAGAAGTGTTTGAGCAATTGCATCCATGGTTTATAGATGTTTATGGTATCGTATTTGTCAAGTCGGCACCCTGATTTGCGTCCAACAGACTTCTATTGTCGGGGATTGCGCTTCGACTTTGTTCACATCTGCATATATATATAATATTATATGTGAAAGGATAGTATTAGCTTGTCATTCCCCTTGTTGTTGCATTAACTTTTGCCGTGCCACCAAGTTTAATGGAACCTACAGCTCTACCAAAATCGATGGCGCATATTTCATCGATCGTGATGGTCAGCTCTTTCGGTATGTCTTGGAGCTCCGATGGCAGCAAGCAATGCTTAGGTGTGAAAATTGCAAAGATTTAGCTCAGTCAATTCGCTAGCAAGCTGAGAAGCTGATCTACAAATGTTTCTTCGCTCGTGTCTCAGAAGATGGTTTGAATTGTGAATGTTGAAAAGAGCAGCGCACAAAGCCGATTTCAATGGTCGGCTTGTTCTGCGACACTAGCACCAGGAGTTTCTGAGAAACCAGACGGTGCAATTGCCGGATTCGATCTCAGTTCCGGTCTCAGAAGGAGATGAACTTACTTGATGAAATATGATATATCCACAAACTAAAACAGTAAAGTCTGTCCTAATCTAGTTTTGCAATCTGTACACAGTTTATGTTTTGTGCACAATCAACACGATCAACAAGTTCAACTGTTGGACCAAATAGTTGTTCCTGTTCCTCCCTCGTTGCAGGTACTCCGTCAGATCCAACAGGAGGCTGAGTTCTTCGCCATTGCCGGCCTGCTTGCGGCAGTGAAACAGAAGCTGCTGGAACGTCGTGTGCGCGTGGAGATCCATGTCGAGCGCTTTCGGCACCTTGCAAGAAGCCGGAAGAACACCTTTCGCACCCCATCAGAGACGTCTAGAGTTGAGAGTTCCAGGAGCCTTCCAAACTTGTCCAGTTAGTCAAGCCAAGTAGAACTAGACGCCACTAGCCACAGAGGTTGTCTAGCACCTTTGTACATATGCACAGAGATATGGCAGGCCCAAAGACCGAGAGCAGAGAGTAAGAAGTCGTCTCTCTCTCTCTATGTATATGATATGATATGTATTATTATATAGTATGTATATATATATATATTATACAGCAAGAATAATAATCACAGCAAGCGTATATGTCTTTAGGGTATGTATATATGACACAGAGATATGGACGTTGCACTCATACACGCGCGGAGACTGCCTTTTGAGCCCTGCAACATCAATCACAGAAACAAACAGATCGCTTAGCAAAAGAACGTGTGGTTATCAGCTAGCCAGCTAAACTAGGTGCTCGGACGATGGCTGCAACTGCGGGGCTGGGCAGAAGGCCGGAGAAGAGTTGTATTCTCCTTGTACTAGGGGCCTATGGAGCCTGGCAGAGCCTTGCTTTACGAAACATTGGAGGTGTGAGGTGCCATACTGTATTTGGATGCTTTTGGTGTGAGAGGTGAGTCCAAGGTCTCTTGGGTGTGTCCTAAACATCGCAGCAGTGCCGCAACAGTGTGTAGCACGTCTTATTCCAATCAGGTAGAAGTGAGCGCCTTGGAGGGCTTGGCCTTTTTCGATTGTGAGCAGCTTGGGAAATGCAAGAAGCAGAGTGTGATGTATTGTGCATGTGGGGTTACAGTCACAGTAAATATGTTGATCAGGAGTTTAGCCTCCCTAGTCCAGTGGTAGGGCCTATATTGAAAGAGGACCAGAGTTGACACTAATTACGGTGACTTTAAGAGGTCCAGCAGAGTTTCAATTGCCACTAGCAAGTTCTGAATCAAGCAATGTCCATGAACTAGGCAAATCACGAAATCCCCTGAATCGAATTCTTCATGATGGCACTTGATTGGCGGCACAAAAAGCTTTGGAAGTGAAAACACCAGCAATGATTTAGCTAGAAGCTACTAGGTTGGAGGCCATCGCTATTAGGTTGGAGGCCATCGCTATTAGGTTGGAGGCCATCGCTATTAGGTCGGAGGCCATCGCTATTAGGTTGGAGGTCACCGCTATTAGGTCGGAGGCCATCGCTATTAGGTTGGAGGCCATTGCTACTAGTAACAAGAAGCTACTAGTAGCAAAATCGGTTCGATTTAGCCTCCACATCCACAGCACCTGAAAGTAGTACAGGAAAGGATACTGTATTGGGCTTGGCAGGCTGCTAGATTGTGTGGATGGCTTGTGGCACAGGCTTTTCCATCCGCGGCGGGAGCTGCGGCCAAATTGGACAACGCCAAGTGCATCTCTTTTGGTGACTTTGCATCCAGAGGCAGAGTAGCTGAGTAGCTTTTGCTTGCTGTTTCATAGTTACGTTCACAGATTCCTACTGAGCTTCAAAATTTGTGAATGGCAGGCTGCCACAGTGGTGTCAACACGTTACAAACTGAAAGTCAGGGTGTGATAAGAATGTGTGTGATAACTTTGGGTGCTAGATACATGTTTTGCTTGCACCGGCTCCCAGTTGATGTCATGGGAGATTGAGAGTCCGGCCAGGAAAGCCTTGAGCCTGCGATAGAGGCCGTGCACCATGCTATTCTTTGTGCAGACGAGGTCTGTGAGCAAAGTGCCAAGGAGATTGTGTTGGAGGCCGGAAGAGCAGTGATCAGCTTGGCAGACAAGAAAGGCTGGAAGAAACTGCAGCGCTGGTAGAGGCAATGCTCTTGCTCAAATTCTTTGGGAAGTTGAAGTCGGCTTCAATTGATTGATGTTGACTCTGACATGACTTAAGGCTTTCGATTCAGTCACTTGAGTCATCAGCTTGATCATATTCCAGCGATGGAAGAAACCTGCTTGATCTTTTCTGTAGCATATTTGTTCATGAAGAAGATTGAGCAAGTATTCAGCAGTCTGTTACATGCTGGGTCGGAAAAGATCGGAAGCGTATGGGATATGCTATGCATTAATATACCGGAATAGGCACAATAGTTTTTGTGTATATATAGTTATATAATGTATTATCCAGACATTCTTAAATTTTGTTACTTTTAGATAGATACATGTTGCAGGGACAAAACGCCCCTAATTGAATCTAATTAAGCACAAGTCCTCTCGGTTGAGTAGCAAACAGCTTGCAGAGGATCCAACAGCAATATACCGCAATTGGATACGCAAGTGGACGCCACAGGCAGACGGCAGACTACTGTAGGTAGGAGTTTCGGTCTAAGACTATCAGGTTGAAGGCCATCGCTCTTAGGATAGAAGGTTGGAGGCCATCGGTCTAAGAGGTTTGCGCATGTTCTTTGTGCCAGCTAGCGATTGACGTCGCTTGCGGCTCAGGAGGGCTCTCCAGTGCGACGTGCTTTGGGCGACTTGGCTGCGACTCCGGAGATGTGCTATCTCCAGTGGTATGCCCGAGCCAACGAGTACAAGGCCGAACGAGTAGGGTGCGCGTGGCAGAGAGGATTGTGCGTATGGCTTGAGAATTGGACAAATGGAGACAGGCACCACGTTGCAGTCAGTGCATGGAGGGTAAAACAGTGGCGTTTGCAGCAGCAAGGAACAGAGTCAGACGGCAAGGCAACAATTGAAAGCGGGAAACATCATGTGGCGGTGGGGTCTCCTTGAAGGTTGGTGACACGCGAGACCCAAGCCTTCAGTATGTGACTGGGCCAAATTATATTAATGTATGTGTACTGCCCAACAGCCTGAATGAGGAGTCAATGAGTAGCCCAGGTACTGTCGTAGTACTGTCGTAGGACACTTAAGGCAAGGAGTTTGGTGAACTGTCTAAAGTATTCGACCAAGTCAGTCCTCAACGTGTTTGCAACCTATCTAGCTGATCAATGCTGAGGGATGGGAGACGTGATCAGGTTTTCATGCCCTACGGGGTCGACCTGTTTTTTGATGGTGATGTGAAGGATAGATGCTACATGACAATTTTCTTGTAATTAGTAGGTTGGAGGCCATCGCTAGTAGGTTGGATGCTAAATGGCCCCTTCCATCTCTTCTAAACAGAAGTCATCAGAAGTCGTTGAAACCATGTCTTCTAGGTGCACTACGCCAAGTGCGTGAAGCTGACCTTTGAAGTGCAGCTCGTTGGCTCACCCCCAACCGTGTCAGTTTGAGCAAAACACCGAGCTGGTTTGAGCACTCCTCGTTCGTGCGGCAAACGAAGCCAGCATGCAACAGCAGCGAACAAAGGATTTGTCCGATCAAACCGTTTGGGCCCAGCCTTTGCGTGGCAGGACATGGGCATGCTGGGCGTGTGCCGAAAGGTGCCATGTCGGGATGTAAAGGATCGTGAACGGCTTCAATTTCTTCCTTTAAATTGTGTAAGGAAACCTCCATGTTTGTTCCTTGGCAGTGCATTTCCTCCTCAGTGCAGATTGAGAATGATTGGGATTTGTCAACTTGTTGAGGACCCACAGATGAATGCAAGGCATTGCCTGTGAATTCACAGAAAGAATCGCCCATCAGTCTTGATTCGGATGATCACACATGATAAAATTACCTTTACACCCTTGATGTTGCCTTACAGCAGATCATCGGATGTTTTCCTTCTCACATGATTAGTGTACGTATGTGTTCCTTGGTTCGCATAGTTTTGTCAATGGTTTCTAGTTTCAATCAGTTTCTTTTGGCAAATTTGCACCTCATCTCGTAGCTATGCCAGGTTTGGCAGACTGAGGGTGTTCGAGGATTCTTCCGGGGCGTGCGCAGTTGCTTTTTCTATTACCCTCAAGCTGGACAGCAGGAGACACATTGGTTCTGCAAATTGGAGATGGGAAGTCCTGCTTTCTTGGTAAATGGACTTTTGTACGTTGGCAAACCGAGGAAACGAGCGACATGGATGTTCCATCTAGCTTTTAGGACATCATAATCTTGAGGTTTCACACTTATTTGAACATCGTTTAGAGATAGACTTGAGTTGCTGTGTCACTGGTATTTTTTGCAACACAACCAAGCAACGATGTAACATGGATCGTGTGGGAACTTGATTGGACTGCTTGATTGGACTTCCAGGAAGGGTTGTTGCCTCCTTTGACTGTCCGCGTGACTGTTTCAAGAGACAATGCACAGGTACTGCCACCCTTGATGGGCAGCTCTGTCCGGGCCGGAGAGGGGAGAGTGATCAGCAGAGGGGAGGGCAGTGCTGGCAGTTCTTGAAAGTCAAGGAGCTTGTTAGCTTGATTAGCCACGTAGTTTCTAGGCAAACAACAACACCTACCTAACGCAACTACACATGAATGCAACCATAACACACTATAGCTACAACTATATAACTATACAGCTGGCTGATTCTATTTGAATCATAGCTGTAGGAGCATGCTGTATTGACAGGGAAAAAACTTTGGCGGTCAAACAGAGTCAAACATGTCAGTTTGCTGCTCTCGATGCCAAGGCCTACCGATCTGCTCAGTTTGCTGTCTTCGAGGTTGTATGTGGGTCAGCAAGTGTCGATGTAAGTGTTTTTGAGGCACTGAAAGTTTAAAGCCGAATCCTTCAACTTTCCTTTTGAAGACCTGAGTTGTATCTATTGAGTCATTCAATACTGACAAAATGAAAAGCAGTGCAAGGCGAACTAAGGCTAACTTTTACACACTTTGGCAGATAGTTTGGAACGTCATTGCTTTCGGGCTCTAGCCGGGCTACCTAACCTGCCTGCCAGATGATTGCGTGTTGTGATTGATAGGCTGTTTACACGCGGCAGAAGGAGTTGGGCTGGGATGAGGCACTTTATGTCTTCAACCATGACAGACTGTTGATTGGTCGAAGGAAGGCTTTGGGATTTGGGGGTGTTGATTATGAGTACCTGATCGGAAACATAGGCTGTCACTGTGTCTTAAGGACTGCGATTTGCAAGTGGAGGTTTCCAAAAAGATACGTAGCATATGGATGATGCTAGACTCCTAGACACTGCAAGACGTTCACAGAATTTGCAGTGAACTATCAAGCACGTAATTCTCATCCGTGTGGAAGCTGAAAAATAACAAGGGAAGTAGAAGTAGGCTTCCCTTTAATAAGGTGCCGATTTGTGGCTTTCAAATTCTCTTGAGAACATTTGTTTTGCTTTTTGCCGTGGGGCAAAGGATACCCCGAATTCATATGAATTCATGGATCATCCATGATCATCCCATTTGATGTCATTGGATGATCTCTTCTAGATGGTCAAGTTGAACCTTTGACACAGAAGCTCACTCGTGTCGCCGTGAGAATAAAGAAGGCAAAAAGGGCCCCTTTAATGGTGCCTTACCTTCTTTTTGTCCTCAAAAGCTCACAGCTCAAAGCTCTCAAAACGAAGTCAGATCCACGCCATCAGATCCTCACTTTCCTCACTCGATTACCAGGTGACCATCCCTGGTACTGGCGGCCTGGCCTTTGCAACGGTGCCCGAGACCTGCGAGCCCTTTCTGGCGGTTTCTTATATATTCTTATATCATTTGAGCCAAGGTAGTTTGAATTGTTCATGCTACGCTGCTACTCTCTTAATCCTTATTTGTGCGTGTGCTCGCTGCATGTCGGATGCACAGGTGCTGGCTGGCATTTGTGGCTCCTCTACGAGGGCCGTGATTGAGTCACCCATCGAGTACGCGAAGGAGACACCGTCAGACATCCTTTGACGCCCAAATGTACAGGTCGTGTTCTTCAGTCGTGCTTTTTGAAACAATCATGTTTGTTTCAATATGAGTGTTGCTGAACAAAAAAACACAAGTGGAGTTCCAGGTAGTTTCAAGGGCCTCCAGCTCGCCCCGTTAGTTCCTGCGTAGTTGACTGGGCCGCGAAGATGGGTGACCATGAGCTGGTCAACCTCACGCAGGTGAAGCGTCAAACTGGGCAGAGCTGGCAATTTCACGAGGAGTGGGTCGAATGCGGCGAGACATGGATTCTGCTTTTCTCTTTTTCCGGATCGATCTCGAAAAGGTGCCTAGAGAAGGAGCACACAATCTCCTTTGGTAAAGTCAAATTTCACTCCAACTTTGCCACTGGTCCGAAGCCCGGGCAGAATTCTTTTCACCAGATAATATTGGGCAGATAAAGGACACCTTCAGGGAGTATGATTGATTTGTGAAATTGCTCCAAGTCTGATGGCAAACAATATAGGCGGTGCACAAGAACAAGTGTACGATTGTCGTCAAGAGCACGGACCCATATATCATTAAATAAAGAAGATGTCTTCCAGAGCCTTGCCAGGTTTATCAAGGCTTCTTCATGCAGCTGCCACGCACCGTCAGTGCCTAGGATAATGCTTGGTTTTTGAGCGGCCTTGTCGCTGATCCAGATTCTTGAACCCGAGAACCATTATCTACAAAACAGCAAGACTATGACTGCAGCCATACATATATTACATATAATAGATATGTTTACATTTACATATACATCAATTACTGTATACGTCAAGTCAATGTATATTGTTGATTGAAGGATGCTGAAACATCGCAACAGTTGAGCGGCTGACAATAGTAAAGTAGCCCCACTCCAACCCGCACAGTGAGGTTGGAATGATGACCCTCATTTTCTGCGGCGTGGATAGTGTCCGACGCTGGAGCCACGGCTAGGTGCACAGTTCCACACGAGCATGGAGAAACGTAAAGAACAAGAACTGACAGCTTTCCCGTGTGAGGTTGACGCATCGCATCGTTTAGTCAAGTGCAGTATGAAGGCACTTGTTAGTTCTATCACATTCATTCTAGCATCTTCTCCTGGCAGTTCTATTCCACACCCCAGACTTTCAGCAAATCGACTGTTGGAGTAGTTGTCGAGGCTTGACGAAGTGGTCAGGCATAACTCACTTCTCTACACAGGACACACCATGATGTGTTTTGTTGTTCCTACGTATGTATAAAACAAATCCCCAATGGCATAGTGCGATGTTGGAACAGGGTAGTTTTTGCGGATTATTGACTATGGACGTATGGATGCCATACAATTAAGGTTTGTATAAGTTTGTATTACCAAGACTGCGCTCATGCCCAGGTTGCTTGTTTGTTGCAAGCCGACAGAATCAGTCCAGATATAGATCCCTGCTTCAGAATAGACAGACTGGCCTACTGTTAGTCTACTGTAGAATCTAAAGCATTCTAAAGCATTCGGATATGGCAGAGAACTCCCACACTACTTGTCACTTGCAGCATGCTTTAAGGATATGCTTGAGGATTCTAAGTCTTCCAAGATCTAAATCCTTATGCAGAGAACTCCCACACAACGGGTGCCCTTGGCGTCGCACTCAGGTGAAGCTCTGAAACATCCGCACTGGCAGTTCTTGACCTGGGGTGGTGTGGACCGGGCACCCTGCGGCAGACCGTGTTTTCGACGTCGGATTTCGAGATGCCTTGTCAGATGGTTGGATCTTGAAGGCATTTCAATCGAAGACCGGCACATTGAAGTCCCTGCACCTGCAATGTGCCCAATTTGCTGGTGTGGCCGTTTGGAAGTGCTCGTCATGCCACAACTCACAAGTGGTGGTTGAAGGAGTTTGACCCATTTTGACCCCCGGAAAAAGAAGCCGACGCTTGCTAGCACGCTGCCTTCTTTCCTCGTTTGTCTCATTCTCACTGCCGTGTGGTCTCTCATTCTCGAGTCCAACCGCCATCGATTCTCTCCAAGTCCATGGTGAGCTTCTGGGTCATTTGGCCATTGGAGACGCTGAAGAATCAGGCGAGCCCAGCGGGACGTAAAACGACCCCCGCGTTTTCTCAGGAAAAGCGACCACGTTTCACATGACAACCAAGAACTACAAAGCTGGTTCTATGGACAACCTTTGACGGAAGACTGGCCAAGCTTTGGTGAGTAATTGATTACAGTATATTGCAGTAGTTATATACACTTCTGACTTCTAACTCTCAACTTTCCTTGCAAAGTTATCGCACTCAACTCTTCCAAGGTAAAATAGTTACCAGATTCAAGGGACTTTAGAGCTCACCGACAACACACATCCTCTCACGATGTCAGGGTTGAACACCAAGATAATTGCCAAGATATATGATATCATATTATGTAATATATTATAAAATAAAAGGTATGCTTCATTGCAGTCACACGAAGCATAGAGTGGTTGTCTTTCGGCAATCATTCACTTTGGAAGTGCACAGCTTCCAGGTGCAAGCCGGAACTGCGATTGATGGAAATGCCCAGCCAACGTTGAGGTGACTTGAAGACGTGTTATATAATTGCATGATGTTACCTGCCTTTGGATTCTGTGCACAGTGTTGGAAGACAGAAAACATCAGAAAACAGTCTTAGGCTCAAGATGTTTTAGGCTTTGATTGAGCTAAATGCAGTGATGAAACGACCAGGTGATGGACAAGACACTGACCTTGACTCACCTAAGGCAGCGCATTGCACATTTGGGTCCTCTAGGACTCTACAGAGGCCGACGTCACGTTTCGGTTCAAGAAGTGCATGTCGTGTTGGACAGTTTATATGGGGGATGGGTCAAAACCTGGAGCCCTGGTCGACCATGTAGCGAACAACCTTCCAGCCTAGGTTTCCTGTTTTGACCCACAGTCATATAAGGACTATCACTATAATATGTTGTTGTAGTTGTGGCTTCAGATTTCACAATCCCATGGGATGCGACTGTTCTTTTTTGGTTTCATCGCCCCCCTGAGTTCTTTCATCACAGGGATCTTGCCTGGCTCCGTGAGCGTTTTCATGCGCAACGGCACGGCTTCCATCGCCCTATGCCCAGCGCTTTGCTTTGTCAATGGCCGATTTCAATTGCACTGCCTCATACTTGATTAGAAACTACAAAGCAGCATGTTTTGCACAAAGAGCTTCTGGATTGTCCCTCGCATTCTTTCCATGGAACATTTCCAAGGGAGAGTATTGCATTGAGGGTGGATAACAAAGCTAGGCCCGAAGAAACAAGTTTATAAGCCAGATACTTTGAGAAGAGTATATAAGGCGGCTAAAGGTGCTGATGCTTCTTTCGTTCAAGGTTATGTCTTTGGCCCAGCGGAAGATCTCTGAGTCAAAATCTCAACTTACTGATCAGTGGAATGTTTGCCTGCAGGCTTAACATGGCAAGTGTTTTTGCCGCTAGGTGGAAGATCCACACGTCTTGTCATGCGCACAAGGGCTCACTTTGACTCAAATTCTTAACCCAAGATTGGTGGAAGAAGGGACGAAGACAAACAAGCAGGACAATGAATGATCAACGATGAAGTTTTTTGCCCAACAAGCAAGCTCAGGTGGGGCCTGAGATGAGAGACAAGCAAACCACCCATGAGCAGCCATTTGCTGTGCTTGCTTTGCGGTTGCAGAAGGAACGAAGGTACAGACCTGCAGAGAGTGGTAGAGATGATTTCAATAGGAAAGAAGAAAGGAACCTAAGAAGGTAAGGGCCCCCCTCATATAATGTGCCCTTTTTCCTGTCTGAGTCTTAATGCATATCTGTTTTCTATGCGTGTCCTTTCTTATTTGAGCGCGGACGCTACGAACGGGGCTCCTGGCCGTTACGAATGGAACAAGACGGGCATCGCCTCCGAACGGAGCCGGTCGGACGCCTCCGACGGCGAGACGAACTCCAGGAGTCGACAAGTAGCGAGTGGCGGCGAGGCGAGGCGGCGCGGCGAGCCATGGCCTGAGCGTCACTGTTGGTGCAATTGGTTGAGCTTCAGTCCGGAGAAATCTCCAGATTTCTTAAGAATTCATGAATACACTGAAGTCTGACTTTGGTACAGCTGGATCCTGCTAAGGTCCTAGCTCTTCCTGATGCTGTTGGACGGACGATGAGACTTGAGACGCAAAAGATCACGCTGCTGAAATTGGGAAACTAACAAGTTATGAGTTTTGGAAGCCTTGAGATCTGAAAGAACCAGATTTCTTGACACGAGGCAAGTGGTAGTCGCTGTCACAACTTGAACACGTAGTACAAGGTGACAGGCCACGATGAACTTTGATGTGCAATCCTCGCTGCTCCAGAAATACCGGCTAATTCATGAATATGAGTTGCAGGTTCACTACAGGTCACAGTGGCCGAGATATTGTACTGTAGAATAGTGAAGTTGCATTCGATATGTTCCAGGAGTCATTGACGGCCAGCCTTAAGGATATGAACCAGTCATGAAGTCAGCACTAGTCAGTTGCGACTGAATCGCAATGCCAAGCAGATGATTACCAAGAGTAGATTCTCCTTGAGACTACTTGTACAACTTTGAACACTAATGCTGCTCGCGTCGCCGGCTCATGTCGCCGGACCTACATTGCCAGCAGCGTTCGCACGACCAACCCCAGAAGTCTCAGGCACAAGCTAGGTTTGATTTGAAGTCAGGCCTTTGCATGAAAGGTTGCTGTTGCTTTTGGAAGGATATCAGACAGCTGATCACCGTTGGATTGTTTCTTTGGGCATTCCGGTATACCAGGAGGAGTAGAGTATTGCTGAGTGGTCGGTCGACGACGTGGGCTCCAAAGAATTGGAAGTCTCCGGGTTATAAAAACAGCAGCAGTCTCCAGGTAAGCACTGCTTCTTTGAAAGCACTATGCAATAGGTAAGCACTGCTTCTTTGATCGGATATATCAGATTTCATTGTCTCAATCATAAGTACTCACAGGGTGTGACTAATGTCAATCGAAGGACGAGGAATTGGGCAGTTGACCACCTGCAAGAACTTGGAACACTCTTCATGCACGTATAGAGATAGACCAGCAGACGTTGCGAGCCATGCATAGGACATCATACAACACAACAGCAAAACTAAGCATGTGAACAGCTAGTCTTGACCTGACTAGTTGCCCCTTGACCTGCAGCGTTGACGCTTGCTTGGTGAGGTGCGTTGTTTCCCACAGCGAAGTTTTGGTATGTGCCTAGCTCAGTCCCTGGTTCAGCACCTCAGAGCAATGGTTCATCACCACCACATGAGGACTTGCGAGTCACTCTCAACTTGGAATTTAGCAATACAGTTAATATCTCATGTTTCTAGGTAGAGTTGCTTTTGCTGGAAGTTCATATCTACGTGACAGGTTCTGTAGGAGTGGAAGGACTTGAAGGTCATACCACTTTGCCTGACCTTCGCAGTTCAGTGTGCTCAAGAGAAGTCAAGTCTAGATGCATGCTACTAAGTCAGTAAAGACATGAAGAGGCTTAGTTCTGTCTACGCTACTCTAGCTGCTCAAAGGCTGCTGCTATTTTTAAAGGAGTCCGCCATAATTTGCCTAGAAGAGCTTCTGTGCACAATGGAAGAGCTGATGGAGCCAACTGGATTTCATCGTTTGCCCCGGGTGCAAACACTTCAGCCCAGGCTTCCAGAGGAGACCAAAAGCGTTTGTCAAGTTTGTGAGCATCATTATGGACAGGTTGGCAACAACTTGCCTTGCAAGAGTCAAATGTAGAAAGTGCAGAAAATGGGTTCACTAGAGAAGGAATCCAATGGATCAACAAGCCAAGCTTCATTGCTTGATTTGGCAAGCAAGATGGACCTGCACTCTAGTTTGAATTGCTTTCTTCCTGCAAGGAGCATGACAGCAGCGTTCGCTTCGATGTATCAGATACTTTCTCAAAATGTCCAGGGTTTGTGCTTGAAAGCAAGGGACTAATTTCAACAGCTCAAGATGTCCCAGCATGTTCTGATGTGCGAAGCTTGTTCTGCTCAGCTAGGCTGTTCCATTGCTAGGAAATCGGATGCACCTGAACAGCCCGGCAAGATTCTTAAGGTTGGTGATGCACCTGCTTCCGAAGTCGAATCACCTCGGATACTATCAGAGACCTTTCAAAACTTGATGGAACGACTTGCGCATCAGCATCTTGCAGAGCTGCCCCTGAGCAGAATTAACTGCTTCCCTGCCGTGGTTGTGTGATCGAAACAATGTTGAATTGTTAGGACCTGTTTTTTTGCATCCCCCATGACTGAAGCAGTTCCTTATGAAGTGACGATCCTTTTCTCTTATGAAATGCAACATTCCAAGGGATATTTGTTTAAAGCTCCATTTGGACGTACATGCGCATTTTTCCGGAATGCATTCCCCAAGCACACGTGGTGCAGCTGGCTGCGGCAAAATTGCTGTCGCAGCCGGGTCTCTTGAGCGTGTTGGGCAGTTTTGCCTTGTACAGGAACCATGCGAAGAAAGCCCTTGGGATGTCGCCGCATGACTGGGCCGATCTCGGCAAGGACAATGCGTGGCTGCGCTGAGACAAAACAGACTTCTCATCGCAGCGCTCTTGGCGCGCGTGTACGGCCAAATGGGCCGTTGTTTAAACATAAGGGCATGTATTCTGGCAAAGTATTTTGGATAACTACCTAAGATTTGGAGTATCAATATACACGGGCCATTTAATAAGCTTCAGTAACTTGAAGAGTGAGTGACAGTAATAGAGGGCATTAAACCCATAAATATCATTTTATAAAGAATTCACTTGAGCCACATTTTTTGCAATTGATTAGGTTTATACAAAAAGGGAACTGTTGAGAAGTTGCGGAGGCTGTTCTGCTTGGGACGTAGGCATCGTGTAGGTGGGTGTTGAAAGACTTGCGTAGGCAGTCTTGCGTAGGCACACTTTTAATGAAAGCATGAGTTGTCTTATTTCCTGTTCAGACTTCTTTAAAAGCTCTTCAAGGGTCTTGGGAAAAGATAATGTTGGACTGTAGATGTTTAATTTGACACTTGCTTGCAAATTCCAGTGGGGAACGCAAGGAAAATGACCTGCAATGGCATGGCTACAGTGGATGGTCCAAGTTTGGTTGTCGAAGCTGTGGGGGCACATTGGATTTTGAGGTCAAAAGCTTGAAGATGCTTGGCCTGGCACACCGGCTCTTGAGCCACAAGTGTGCACACCCTTGGTACCATAGTCGATGGAGCAAACTGAACTCTGCACCGCCCGACGCTTGGAGACATTTTGGCTCAAGGTGGGTAAGCCAAACTGGCATCAGCTGATCTTTAAACCAACCTCTCCCTCCCTGGTTACCCAGCCTCACATTGAGTTCCCCGGTATCGGGGGCCGGGGTTCCGGTGGGTCATGGCGCCGACGCCACGGCGCCTCTGGGTGGAGAAAAGCCCCCCCTGCATGCGACGTGAAGACGTGAAGACTTCACCCCGGCGGGTGCGACCGGCGCGTCGTGCGCCGGGCCTTCCAGGGACTGGCCCACATGTGAAGCGCGTGAGTCTCGGGGAGTATGCAGGTGAAAAATTGCTAGACCAGGTAGCATTCTATCAGCTAAACGCTGAGGCTTCTCCCTTCAAGGGATAACAAAGCGCACATCCAGCTGCAGGCAGGTTGAGCACAAGAGGAAGCGAGCCGATGAATAGAAACGTGTGGAGTGCGAAGGTGAAAGCATCAGAGAAATTTCTTGGAAGGCTAATAATTTAACAAAGACGGGCCATTTGGAACCCCCGAAAACATGAAGCTATTGTTTTGACCGTTTCGCAAAATATGTTGAAGAAGACTGAGAACTGGAAGAGGAAGACACTGGATTGTTGAAAATAATGAAGCACTAGGAAATCAACTTGGACAGAGCAGTGAAAGAGAGATTGTGAGCACATATAGGGCTTGCAGCTTTAAAGTGGTGGAAAGAGGAATTGTAGCCCTAGGGATGTCGCCGCATGACTGGGCCGATCTCGGCAAGGACAATGCGTGGCTGCGCTGAGACAAAACAGACTTCGCATCCCAAGGCCGTGGGGGACAGCTGCGCTCTTGGCGCGCGTGTGCGGGCAAATGGGCCGTTGTTTAGACATAAGGGCATGTATTCTTGCAAAATATTTTGGATAACTACCTAAGATTTGGAGTACCGATATACACGGGTCATTTAATACACTTTAGTAACTTGAAGAGTGAGTGACAGTAATAGAGGGCAGGTAAAACCATAAATATCATTTTATAAGAATTCACTTAGCGAGGTGTCGGAGGCTGGTCAGAACACGCTTTCTCTTTTTATAAAGATCACGTTCTGGACTGGAGTTTGAATTTGTGTTTTGGTTTGCAATTCTTGACTGAATTTTGATCTTGAAACCAAGCATGTTAATTGTGTAAAGGCTACTGATGTCGCATCTTACGGACATTCTCGATTCGCAATTCTCAGTTCATAAGTTGTCTCTCCTGGATGTAGGTTTATTTTAACCTATCATGACCTATGCTTCTCATTTATAAACTAGTTGGTTCTTATCTCTTTTAACCAAAACACCTATCCCTCACATTTTTTAAACCCGCCTATGAACAATCAGGGGATTTTTTTTGCGGGAGAAAACAAAAACATGTTTCATGGTATGGGGATCCATTTACATAACAGTGTTGCAGAGCCCTAGAAGTTGATGTGACCAGCGCCCGCTCTGAATGAGAACTGGGACCACCTTGCTTGGAGCGAATGTATCTGTATCCCCGCTACAGTTTCGTTTGCAAAATCGGGTATCCTGAAATCACCAAAAGGGTGCAACTTTACTTGTCAAACAATACCCTCATGGCATAGATGCGCCTTTGCTGTTGGTGTGTTTCTATATGAGCAACCGCCAAAACGTGCAACGACTAATTTGGTAAAGAGCGCTCATGAACCGCAGGAGTTGGGCTAGAACCTGCAAACGCGATGTGCCTCCTCAAAAACGACAACCCTGTTTGCGTAGTTTTTGAATGTGTTCAGCTATGTTGACATGGTGGCAAAAACCTGCAAAAAGCAGTAGGCCCCCCTCAAAAGTGATAACCTTGCTGAATCATGTCCTTTGCTTGACAGTACATTTTGGCAGACGCTCATATGTTTTTTGTTTTGCATGTTGAAGTGGATCCAGTTGAGGTGTGTGGAAAATTCTTAAGCTTGCAGATAATTGATTACATTGGGAGTCCTGAGGTTTTGTGGCAACCTGAACAACAGATACTCAACCCGGGATACCTGACTCTATAGGAGTTTTTACCAACACAGTCGCACGCTCATTTTGTAGGAGAAGTGGTGGGCGGATAGTTACCAACCCCAATGCCATACAAATTCAAACACAACAACATCAACGGCATCAAATTTGTTTGTGTTTCTTCATCAATGAAGATGACACGACCACTGCGCTACCAAAGGATCAGTGGCCTAGATTTTGGGGTGCACGGAAGGGGTGACATAAAGATATATGATAGATGGCAACATCAGCATCAGGGATGGGCGATGATTGGAGTTGCAAGTTTGGATGAAGTCGCAAGGGAGACAAACTACTATGATATTGCTTGTTTGAGACTATCATCACTAGTCAGAAGAGGTGGTGACATTTTGGCTCAAGGTGAGTAAGCCAAACTGGCATCAGGTGATCTTTAAACCCACCTCTCCCTCCCCCTTCCAGGGGCTGGCCCACATGTGAAGCGCGTGAGTCTCGGGGAGTATGCAGGTGAAAAATTGCTAGACCAGGTAGCATTCTATCAGACAAGGGATACAACAAAGCACACATCCAGCTGCAGGCAGGTTGAGCGCAAGAGGAAGCGGGCCGATGAATAGAAACGTGCGGAGTGCGAAGGTGAAAGCATCAGAGAAATTTCTTGGAAGGTTAATAATTTAACAAAGACGGGCCATTTGGAACCCCCAAAACATGAAGCTATTGTCTTGACCATGTCGCAAAATTTTTTGAAGAAGACTGAGAACTGGAAGAGGAAGACACTGGATTGTTGAAAATAATGAAGCACTAGGAAATCAACTTGGACAGAGCAGTGAGAGAGAGATTGTGAGCACATATAGGGCTTGCAGCTTTAAAGTGGTGGAAAGAGGAACTGTAGCGAATGTATCTGTGATAGGTTACCTTAAAGACAGGGCTGCGCAGAGGCATTTGTAGAGAACATAAGGGCCAGCTGCTAGGCATGCCATCTCATAGGTGGGGCAAACACACAACTTTAGGGGAGTATCTTTCCACCAAGCGCAACTCCAAAGAAAACCATCAATTTTCACCTGTTTTTGTGGTGATGTACTTGTGGCTTGTAGTGTTTTTGAAGGTCGAAGCTGAACAGCGCAATAGGTCACCCTTTTGTATTGCGGAACTACATACCTTTCTCCGGCAGTGCTTTTTAGATTGGATGCTGTGTGGAATGTAAGTCATGGAGTCTAGCTCAGGTCCGTTGCTCGCGGCCTCAGCAGAGGGCCTTCAACTGATGCAGCCAGTGCACGAGGGTCAGTCACATCACCATCACCCTGTGCGGAGTCACTGCAAAGTCCGGGCTCAGCCGTTGAGGATTAACGGGGAGTGAGATGAACTTGGTCGGACGCAAAATGTGAAGTAACCTTATCAACCGAAAATTGTGAAGCAAACCAACAGAACCCACTTGCGATATTGGATGACGACTTGTACGTTAGAGGAACATTGGTAAACAATGTTCTATCCACCCCATTCCAATCCCATCAATTACAATATGAATTCTTGGTTTTGGGTCAACATTACGACAAAGCATCATCATTCTCCATGACACCGTGATTGATGAAATTTGACACTTCTACCCAACACCTCCCCTTAGATCTACAGGAGACGGGCGATGCCCGCCGGCGCCGCAGAATCTCCCAGCTGATGAGCACCGTGGCCAGTAGTTTCTTGTTCCTAGTAGTGATGCCAGGAGCCCCTAGTAGCGATGCCCTTTGCTCCTAGTAGTTTCTTGTTCCTAGCAGGGTTCGTGGGGTTCTAATGATTTTTCAAGCAACAAAGAAAGACCAGAGACTGGCCGGTAGTCTTTGGCGGAGGGACAGGCGAATATAGCAGGGATTGCCCTGTTCAGGCTGCAAGATTTTCAGTTTGATGCAAAACACAGCAGAATTTCAAAACTAAATTTGTTTAGGAAGAGAATCGGACAAAATATCCAGATGGTTGTGCACAAAAGGTCTCTCAAGCAGAACGCTCCGAAAAATAGGTGTTTTCTATACTGGACTAAGGACGATACTAGGGGCTCCTGGTCTTACTACTAGGAGCAAGGACGCTACTAGGGGCTCCTGGCATCGCTACTAGTAACAAGGTGCGCTACTAAGAACAAAGAGCATCGCTACTAGGAGCAAGGACGCTACTAGGGGCTCCTGGCCCTACTACTAGGAACAAGAAGCTACTAGAAAAGGGGTGGCAATGTTGCAGAAATTCAGATAATTACGCTTCAAACAATCCAGGGTATGCACCACAAGGAACTGGAGTCTTGAAGGCGTTGGGTCTTGGGACGATGCAGTTGGATTGAATTCATTGGCAGACTGCTCTTTTGAATTCATGCAGCTGCTGGGTAATTTTTTTTTGTGCTGCAAAGTTTAAGGGGAAACCCTTGCTTAGCTTGATGACAGGCGGTCAATAAGCAGAAAACTGATGAAAAGAAAGTGGTTCTAACAGATTGATCGGTTACGTTGTGGAAGAATGCATTCTGGTTCATGAAGGATCTGTTTCTTACAACTTACTGATGGGGCTTTCTGCGTGTTGCTTTGCCCTTAAACAGTTTAAAGTTTAGTTTTTCCCAGTGGCAAATCTCACCATGGCATCAAGGCCAGCAGCACAGGAAGGCTCCAAAGATGTCAGCCTCGAGGTGTGGAGTGAGAAAGTGACATCCTTGTAGTTTCTGTTGGATTGAAACACTGTGGATTTGGGCGTGTCTCAAGAGAAGTGGGATGTTATGACAAACCCAAATGTGTAAACAAAATCTCAACGTGGCCAGTGGCACAGGAAGGAATTAATGAATGGAGTAGGCATAGAGTTGCAGTTGAACAGTTTTGATCACCCTTTCATTGCTTCACAAACAATTTGTTTGTGGGTGGTAAGTAGCCTCCCATAATCCAGTGTACAAGCGACTTGCTTAGGCATGGAAACTCTGACACTGAAGGAATTGTCAAACGCAGCAATCATGGAGAATGCTCCGGTGTTCTACACCTCTTCTTTGGAATGGGTGGGGGAGAATATGTATTGAAGAACCCTGGCTTTCCCCGCCTCCCCAATTTGCATTGGTCACGACTAGCCATTCGCACAGGATCATGAAGACTTTTGATGAGTCTCAGCTTCCTCAGCTTCCTGTGGAGACAGTTGATGAGGGGGAGCTCGTGCAACATCAGCCGTCGTTTCTCGGCACAACTCACAACATGGTGCAGTTCTGCAGTGAGAACACGTTGCGAGAGTAGGCGAGTAGGCAACGTTGTGAGGTGGGCCAAGGTGGACAGGGAAACAACGTCCCTTCCCGCTTGAAGAGGAATGCAAGAGGCATCCAGATGACACAGAAATCCTGAAGCTGTCACACTTGGTTTGGGGTGAAGGTGAAGGCCATTCCAGTGATAGGCTACATGGTCGAGCCTAGATAGGCATCAACATATGACTATACTACTTGTATATTATATATAATTATATAAAGAGATTGGATTATGCGTTAGCAGTAGTGACAGTGAGAGTAGCTGAGTGAATAGTTATTTGCCATTGGAACAAGGAGGCTGGCAGACAACCTCGTAAGAGAGATGTTGGCTTTGGCTCCGACTCCTGCGATATGGTTTGTACGTGAAGTGAACCAGGTTCTATGAGTTACTGTATGTTGTACAATATTACATATATATATATATATAATTGAAGAGGTCAGCCTGAAGCGGTACAGGATTATGCTACTAGATTTCAGACAAGATGCTACAATGGTTCAATGGCTAGCCAACCTGTTTTGAAGTAGCCAATCTTGGAATCGGTCCAGCTAGAAATGAGTGCTGTTGTGGTTCTGAAACACCAGGTATTCCAGCTGTTTCAGGATTTCAGGACTAGTAGGTTGCACAATGTCACTCTCCTTGGTACTTTCTCACAATGCTTCAGCACACTCCTTTGCGCACCTCCAACTGTCGGAGTTGTTGACAGCTGTGGGAATTGATCAGATCGAGGACACGTTTGGGACTATTTCGAGAGTGGCTGCAATCATCACATTATGCATCTCGTCAGATGCAACAAAGGCGCGATACATCGGGTTCAGAGAGATACATCCTACCGGAAACCTGCTTTAGAATGGACGAAAGTATCGGACGCTTTCCGGACCGTTCGCTTTCGGATCTCAGACACGGACAGGGCCGTGCCGTTAAGGAGTTCCGACATGCCGAGAAAAGCAAGCACTTGGGCCGTCGGGGTGATGCCGTTTGCCGTTTTCTGCATGTCCTGTTTTAAAGCATGGCCTTCCAATCACATGCATGGGTCTACACATGTCTACAACGACAACATCATGAACTTCAGCTGAGTGGCCTCTCAGGGTTCTTGGTGCAAATGATAAATGGTTGAGTCAACCATCATGCCCTTTCCCTTCAAAGCGAGATGCTGTACACACCCGATCACCAGACTGCTCAGTCCACTCTTCTCGGTCGCGGAAGGGTCCTTCTCACTTCTCCAAAAAGCAGAGCCTCCCGCGATCGGTCCATCATGGTCCATGGTCCATGAGGAGTGCGTTGTGATCCCTTCGGAAAGTCCCACCTCTTTGGGTTGTTTTTGGCTGGGGTGCAGTGGTACCGGTCCCGATCCCCTTGCAACATCTGTCTATGAGAACGTACAGAGCACGATGAGATTCAGACAAAATCAACCACTGAGTCCTTGTCTTCAGTATTTTGCAGCCATGAACGGAAATTGCTAGGCGGTGGTTTCATGTGTGAGGATGTCAAGGTTATAGCTTACATCACTAAGGAGATGTGTGTAGCAGCCCTTCTTTCGGTGTATGTTCTTTGGCTGGGCTTCGAGCTGCAAGTCTATGGCGCACGCACTGCTGTTGAGATAGGCCTTTTTCCAGGCGGAGCCGACGATTATATGATGGTTGCGTTTGGGCACTCTGAGCCCTGTTTTCTGAGTCACATAGCTGTGAGTCTCCACACAATATTCTTGTGTTTATGGAAATCAACTACTTACAACTAGATACGACTAGTAAACATTAAATTAGCTGCAATTTGTGTCGTCAATGGAAAACCGTCCAAGCCAAAGATTGCACATCATTTCTACTGTCAGCAGAGTTTGGTTAGAGACAATGGCTACATGCAAGTAGCTAAATGCACAGATGCGGACATCGGACTGCAGTACCCCTGACTGGAGATGATATGCACGAGTTGCTGTTCGTTAATGTTTGTCGTATAATGGCTACCTGACTTGCAGACTCCAGGCGCACTCATTCCTGAAGCAAACTTCTCTCATTGGGATGTGGTGATTTTTCCTGCAGCGGACATGTGCTTTACAGCAACCTGGCCTTTGAAGGAGACAGTGCAGCTCATGTGTCAAGTGCGTCCTTTTAGATCCTTTTAGAATGAATCAGAGCAATTTAATGCAAGTTGTGTGACTGTCAAGATGGTGCGCCACACAAATGTGTTGCAGTGGCATTTGTTCTTAGCAATCCGATGTCCTGTAGAAGGCATTATGTTCATTTTGCTGAGTCATTTGAGAAGTTTACTGTAGCTGTCTACACAACCTCGCTTCACTGCATGAGCTGACATGGAGTGTGCATGAAGGCTCAGTGACTTGGAAGGTAGGCTTTATCACCCACGAAGTTGGGCTTCTGCAAGAGTCCTGCCGCTCTAGGCCCTATTCTCTATTGATGTGATTGTGCGAGTGATCGTCCTCCGCAAAACATTTTGGAAGGCAGAAGTCGAGCAGCAGCCGCAGTTTGCATTGACACGAAGGGATCATTCATGTAGAAATGACTGCACAAAACATGAACTCACCATAGTTTTAGCTTCCTGCAGAGTACATGCTTCAAGAAGAGCAGAGTCATATGAGGTTTGCTGCATAACGACTCAGCTTGACTTTTTAGGCCTCACAAATCCCAAGCCCAAGCCATTGTTTATGACTCGACTCGACCTGTTCTTTGTTGAGACACATCGATTGGTGCTACAAAGTGTTCTTGAAGATTGTGAGCAAATCCAGAGAAATCACAAAACATATCATGTTGGATGTCACAAAGCGAAGCAGCTGTTCCGACACGTCAAGAAACGCTGCAAAGATGTATTCAAATCTTTGCCTGTCAACATGGTTGCACAGAACTGCGAGACATGAGGGCCACCAATGTTTTTCCGGAATGCATAGCGAAGGGTTCTCGTTTAACTCTGGGGGTTTGGGGGTAGAGCCTTGTTCGCGACTCGTTGTCTCAGCGTCCGCAACCGTTCGCAACTGTCCGCAACAGTGTTTGCATTCGGGTTCGTGGGTTCCATCTTGTTTCATCTAGCAGCTATAGCTGGTTTCGAAGTTAAGAGCAAGGAGTGGAGCGGTTGTTAGAACATAGGATTTATCATCGTGCCATCCGCTCATTCAACACAATATTTTGCGATGTCAGTGGAAAACCCATGATGACCTTAGATCTCAGGGAATTGTTCCTTAAATGAGAGTTGTGAAGGAGGCAGCTAAATTCTGCTGCTGTGCAGAGAGCATTCAGAATATGTATGCTTTTGCCATGGCAGTGGGAGCACATGTGCAGCCTAGGAGGTATGCCTAACAGTCTGAGATGTGGACGAAACATTTTTTTGCTACGCTATACAGCTGAGCCACAGTAGCGGAAAGAACATTAAATCGCCCATGTTGCTACGATGTGCAGCTGAACTACACTCTGAGTCATTAAGATGGAAGCGGAAACAAACTTTTTGTGGAGGAAAATGGTCATGCCATGTTTCAGTGTTTCACTTCCATGATTGATTAAGGGAGGGTACATGACGGAAAGGACATTTTATCGTGCACATATTGCTATCGTTTCATCTCTTGTCGTGGAGGTCGCCATGAATTACATTGACATCCTTGTGACTCTCGCCTCTTTCATCGAAGTGATCTTTTTTTATGTCTACACAACGCCAATGGCCGTGAATCCAATGTGCTGTGGCGGCAGTTTGATCGCAAAATCCAGTCAAGTTATATATCAACCGTAACTTGTAGCATCACCCAATTCTTTGGAATGTCCTTGTAGGCACAAGGACGCTACTAGTAGCTCGTGGCCTTACTACTAGTAACAAGAAGCTATTAGGAACAAAGGGCATCGCTACTAGGAGCAAGGACGCTACTAGGGGCTCCTGGCCTTA